TACCTAGTGGGAGAAAAGCAATTACTTCCAAATGGGTTTTCAAGAAGAAATATGGCAAGGATGGCCAGCTCACAAAATACAAGGCTCGGATTGTTGCCAGAGGATTCACTCAAGAATATGGAATTGATTTCAATGAGACCTTTGCACCAGTGGTCAGATTTGAATCAATCAGGATCCTTTTGGCTCATGCTGCTATCAATGACTACCATATTCATCAGATGGACATAAAGACTGCTTTTCTCTATGGAAAATTGGAAGAGGAAATTTATTTGCAGCCTCCTCCGGGATATTTTCAGAACAGCAAGAAAGTATGGAGATTACAGCGGAGTCTTTATGGTCTGAAGCAGGCACCACGATGCTGGAATGAGCTGCTGCATGATTACTTGCTACAGATCGGTTTCTCTCAGTCAAGCGATGACTATGGCATTTGCAGAAGCAAGAAATCAAACCTATTGCTTGCTGTATATGTTGATGACCTGATAATTACTGGCAAGGATTTGGACTCTATCAATAAGTTCAAAGAAAACATGCGCAAAAGGTTCCAGATGACACTGATATGGGTGAGACAAGCTATTTCTTGGGGATTGAAATTACCAGAGACAGAGCGAAAGGCACTCTCACAATTTGTCAAAAGAAATATGCTGAGGAAGTCTTGAAAACCTTCAATATGCAAGACAGCAGTCAAGCGAATTTCGCTATATATCAAAGGAATGGCATCCATGGGAATCACCTTCAGCAAACACCCATGGCAACTTACTTACCGGATACTCAGATGCAAATTATGCAATGAATATTGATGAGCGGAAATCAACCTCAGGATATGTCTTTGTCCTTGGAGGTGGAGCAGTGAGTTGGAAGTCCAAGCGCCAGAAATCAGTTGCCTTGTCAACCACAGAGGCAGAATATATGTCACTGAAGCTAGCAACTCAGGAAGCTGTTTGACTGAAGAGCCTTTATGAATTCATGAGCCAGAATTCACAGCAGCAGACTCAGATTGCAAAAGACAATCAGGGAACAAAGTGGCAAAAAATTGACAGTTCCATGAGAGAACAGAGCATGTTGATGTTAGCTATCATTTCACCAGACAAGCAATTAATGATGACATTATCAACATTGCTGGATGTGGAACCAAGCATATGTTTGCAGACCTTTTGACCAAATAAATTGCAGGAGAGCAATTTAGAAAGCTAAGATCAATGATGGGAATGAACTGAATAATGGATAGTGGGAGTGTTGAAAATAGTGCTCCATTATGCAATAATATCAAGGGTTTCCTTGGAGGGAGCTGAAACCCTAAGGAAACTACTAGGTGCAACCAGAAGCAACTGGAAGCAGTTGGAAAGGACTGGAAGCAACTGGAAGTAACTGGAAGAAGCTGGAAAGTGCTGAACAAATCTGCAAAGTGCCAGATGAAGGATCTGAAAGATACTGGAAACTTGTGGAAGAACTTTGTATGATCTTATTTTGTCTATATATTGACCAGTCGCCTCCCTTGTGTTGTACATATCATTCAATCAACAACATATCATATTATTTATCAAAGCACACTTAAAGGATACCATTCATGAGGCAAACTCGGAGATCTGCAACTGTATAGAGAAAAACACACGCTTAAGGCATGGAGGGTTTATTACAGGACTGGAATGACATGACTTGACAAACGAGAGCAGAGCTCGAGAGCAATCACAGGTGGAAATGCGTGAAGGGGGTGGAGACCAAGGGAGCACTGAGTCGATTGGACGATGCTGTAGTAGGAAGTGTAAGAGGACAGGACAAAATGCACGCACCTGTAAAAAAAGATGCAGAAATGCCCACTCTATAACATTCTGAATGGCTTAATTAATTTAACTTGTTGTGGTTGATGATGGTAATGATAAATCTATGTTTTAAGTCCGTTGCAACAACTAGGTTATGACAGAATATCTCCCCCTGTCCACTATATAATAAAACAAAATAGATCCTAAGATCGTGTCACAATAACAAATAAATCTCCAAGTCAAAAATAACACAAAGAAATTTCGCAAAATTCACTATAACATGTTTCAAATAAAAGATAAAAATCCAAACAAATTCACTAATAACCCTCCTAGCCATCAATTTCCTTAAGAGACCTCACTGCTACTCCTCCTCCTCATTACTGGCGATCCCCGCTCTCAAATCCACCAAAACATTAATCCATAACTCATCCCTCTGGCTCTTAGTGAGAGACTTGTGCTGATGATACCAGTGACCAGTGCCAACATGGGTCTTCTGAAGATATTTGACAAGAGCAGAAAGACCTTTGTCTGACCATAGAATGCGGTTGAGCGTGCATTCCGCATAGGGATACCCTCAAAGGCGCCATTCCGTTCCTCTCTGTGATTGTGACAAGAAAGAAGCACATGCTGGACCGACTGCAGAGGAATTGCACACCAACACTCTGGAGAGGGGCGAGGCTCTCTGCCATGTCTTGCAAAGTAGCTGTTGAAGAAGCCATGTCCAGTTCGGAAGTTAACAATACAGCTGGCAATACTGTGCGAGATATTCACAAGGGGCTTGTCAATGGAGAGCCGAGGTTTACCTTCATAGGCGCTGAGAATCTCGAGTCGAAACAGGGCATTCCATTCATAAAACCGCGATCATTGACTAGCTTATAAAGGAAGCGCAATGAACAGTCATGGTTGACAATGTCTGGCGACGAGGCTGCTTGAGTGGCTAAGCCAAGAGCGTGATTGCTGCCCTCAACTTTGGTAGCAGAGCGAAGCCAATAAATGGAGACTTTTGTGTTGGTTTCGGACAGTCTGTTGATGGCTTGATAGATAACAGTAGCTTGCCGTTGATTTGAAGCGCGCCGAGGCTTCTCCAGGCGTTTCAGGACATTAAGGGCATCTGTGAAGAAACTGATAGTTTGGTTTGACAGTCTTCGTTTTGATGTCCAAGCTGTGACCTTCGCTAAGGCAGTTATCGCCCCAGAATACAGATCCGAATGAAAGCCCAAAAAGCCATGCTCTTCATGCGCTAAACATCCTCCATATTCGACAGTGAAAGCCCAGCCTACACCCTTGTTCTCAGTGTTGTAAAATGATCGAGAGTAGATGTCCCAGCCAGCTTATCAAGGAAGCGCAATGAATAGTCATGATTGATGCGATCTGGCGACGAGGATACTTGAGTTGCTGAGGCCAGGGCGCGATTGCTGCCTTCAACTTTGGTAGCGTAGCGAAGCCAAGAAGTAGAGACATTGGTGTTGGTTTCAGACAGTTGATCGATGGCTTGATAGATCACAGTAGCTTGGCGTTGATTTGAGGCGCGCCGAGGCTTCTCCAGGCGTTTCAAGACAGCAGGGACATCAGTGAAGAAGTGGATGGCCTCGTTTGACAGTCGATGCTTTGTTGCCTAAGTCGTGGCCTTCGCTAAGGCGGTTATCGCCGCAGAATAAAGATCCGATTGAAGGCCCAAAAAGCCAGACTCATCATGCTGAAAGTCCCCTCCATACTCGACACGAAATCCCAGCCAACAGCGTTGTTCTCAGCGTTGCAAAATGAATGATTGTAGATATTCCTGCCCTTACCGATGATTTCCACAATTTCCTGTTTTGGAAGTGTCTCAAGGCTGCTAGAGATGTCCGGAACGCGCCAGGGTGGATATCCTTTAACATGGAACGTGTCAGTCGTCGTTTGAGAAGGCAAGACTTGGTTGGATTTCTAAATAAAAATGTCTTCAAAAGCAGCCGTGGCTCAAAAAACTTGTAAGGAGTGAAGAGCAAAGGAGAGATGATCCTACCAAATGATGCTGTAGCTTGTGCTGTGGGGCGAGGCATACTGTGCATGCTTGGATAAAGGTGTAAAATGGTCTCCTTTATGAGACCATCGATGGAGTTTAGGTTGATTTGCCATGTTGAAGTCGCAGAATTAGTCCTATATGAAAATGGCTGGATGAAAGTGCGCAAATTACTTATGTGCACAACACAATTGCAATCAATGTTGTTGGCTTTTTGGAACTTCTTGGACTTTTTTGACTTGAGGATTCCTTTGTATCGTGAACTTTACATTACCGCAGCACGATCTTTGGATCTATTTTGCTTCATTTTTGTTTCATTTCTATTAGTAGTGGAGAAGGGGAGAAAGTCTGTCATAGGTTGTTGCCCATGGACCACGAAATATGATATGATGACCATCATCTACTGCTCTAGCGGGTTTAGTTTTGACATTTTGGAGAGGCTTTGTAGTTCTTTACGATAGCCTACCGGGAAAGCGGTATCAAGAGGCCTTGGATCAGTTTATTTTAGATTTTTCAAATGGGTGGGTGTTGTAGTCGAGGTCCATAGACATGACAAAAATCATCATAGTAAGGAGTTTTATTTTGCTTGACACAGTGGCTAAAATCTAAGACGAAAACAGAAAGAATCCTCCCTAATTTCGATACATTCAGATTCTGTAGAAGGACTTCTTATCATTCACTCTGATTGGAATCCTCATTACTACCCATCCAATTCAAGATAGCAGACTTCTACTTCAACTTCAATTAAGCAGAATGATTGATTCACAACTTAACCTTTTGATTTTGAGTCCCAGAGTACTGCTGGTCATACCAATTCCAAGTGCCAATACTGTGAGTGTTCTGAAGAAATTTGACGAGAGCCGGTTAGGCGCTCTGTCTGATGAAGATGGATGGTGAATATTTGATAGGTTGTGTTCAACAGCTAGGCTATACTTGCTCTATCTGACAACGGTCACTTCTTGACAGTAGCAGAAGCGCGACGCCAGAGAATGAGGTGCTGATATTGATCCAGACAGCTGATTCAATACTCGATCTATCTTGAAAGCTGCACCTTCATTAGAGGCATACAAACGCCTACAAAGTCGTTTCAGGTTGTCCTCATAGCTTTGTTATTTCACAGACTATAGAACATATTTGTCATCATCGTCATCATCATCATCATCATCATCATCATCATCACATCATCATCATCATCATCATCATCATCATCATCATCATCATCATCATCATCATCATCAGTCGTCTCAGGATAGACAGATAAACCGTGAAGAAATGGATCGACACGCTTGACAGCTCTCTCTTTGATATCCAGAGTGTGGGTCTCTTCAAGCAGCAGTTTGATGATGGTGATCATATATCAAGCAGCAGTGTAGTTGTCGGATATCTTGCCAAGAGTTCCATGCCTTAAATGTCGCATGAGGCCTTCTGTGCAGCAATGAAAGCTTGTCCTGCATCGTTGGTATAAGTTCCGACAAGTACAGATATCCCATCCGGTTCCTGTCTGACCGTCAATGATCGTTTTTGTTTTATTGCCCTTCTGGTGACTTTACAGTGTGAAAACATTGCTGAACATATCTGGAGGGTCCCAATGGGTATATAGCTAATCTTATATCATGATTCTCAGTCGTCACTCCGCAACGTTGAAGCGCGGATATCGGGGGCGACATAGCCATCAGCAAGAAATTTAAGCAACCCGCAACTTTGATCAAGCTCTAGCAGATCAGTCTTCTAACTGCTGGAAGGGCAGCATCTTTGACAGTGGTAGGCATGGGGATCGTCTGCTTTATTTGATCCTGAAGCAGTTTACTGGAGAGTTTAGACACTAGTAATGATAATTTCCAGATAAAGCGTAGTAATTAAATATAACAATATACAGCAGGAGACGATATTTAATGATCAGTAAGTGGTAAGATGCATGTAAGACTGACAATTAGAGCGAACGCGTCAAACACTGTAGTGTGATTTGATAAACCGCGCAAAAGAATATCTGTCAGTGGATACTGCAGCGGCACTCTTCAGTAACTTATATCTCACACGGTTTGATGACAGATGAATAAATTATAGTTATAAGCTAGATACAATTTTTGATGACATGCTTGCGACATCAAGTTTCACTTTCTGACAGGAAGTTTCGCATGATATTGAACTAGAATGATTCCTTTTCTGAATGGATCCCAAGCACATATACACGGTAAATGAAGAGGACAAGTTCGAAGCCAAACCATAGTTTATACTTCGACACAGAGCTGCCTGCGATGCCCCATTGGCGTGCTCTGAAAATCTTCAATAGAGGCGACAGCGATCGATGTCTGAATGGGAGAACAAATGGGAAAATGAAACAGCAGATAAAATACCATGAAATCTGTGAGATGATGTTGATAGAGCGGTTCATGATAAATGCAACGACAAGAACCGGGATTCGCTGAGAGAATATCGATGGGATGGTCTCGGATTAGCTGAAGACAAGAAGAAGAATTTCAATGAATGTCAGCAAATTATTAACCAGAAGATGTACTAGGATAGATTGGATATAGGCCGAGCTGTGATGGTCGGATTTTGAACGGATATATGTGGAAAGTCAATGCGCGCTGTCCTTATCGCACTGTTGGAGAGCGGAGAGAATGAACTGAAAGAGAGAATGGAGGAGCGGATGTGCCAGGTTTCTCTAACTGTAAAGCAAAGCTGTCTGACGGTATAGAATGTAGCTTCATCCTGGGCGTTAACAGCGGATAAAAGCAAGGATATCTCGTTCAACAAGGTATAGTTTTCGTTTGCTGATACAGTTAAATGTCAAAACTGTTGCCCGCTCCCGAAGCGTCTTGTTGTTGGGATATGATGGAGGCAGGCGAAGCGCATCCGCACTCTGTAAGCTCAGTCGGAGATCAATACTGCACTCAGATTTGGAGTTCGAGGGTATCTGCTGGAGCACGATGCCGGCCAGATGTAGGAGGATGCAGGTGTTCTGCGATGCAGATCAGGATGCTTACAACTGAGGGCGAATGGCACGTGCGAAGATGGAGCGCGGCGCCCCGAGCGGTGGTCCGGGCGGCAGCGGCCGACGACTGTGGCGTTTCGCTCGAGATATTACCGCGCCCACCTCACAATATTCACTCGCTTGCTGTCTTTCAGAGCCTCTTCTTCAGCAGACCGCGGGAGTTCCCTGCAACAGTTTGGTCCTCTGTTGTATCTCGGTATCTTTGATTTGATCTGCCAGGGCTAACAAAGATGCGGGTCTCTCTGGAAGACCTTCCGATTGAGATTCTCCAGGCAGTCGTGCTCGATCTGCCAGATACTGCGCTTGCCTCTTTTCTAGCTACATCCCGCGCTATTCGCGATCGTTTGTTTGATAATCGCCAGTTTTGGCGGGCCAAACTGCTACAGAAATTTGATGCCCCTTTGTTTGAAGACACGACGAAAAAGATTGACGATATAGAGGAGAATGAGAAGGAGAGCGGAGAGAACGGTGACAAGGCGGTGGTGACAAAAACACTGACGGGCGAGGAGTCATACGACTACCGGGGCACATATCAGAATCGGGTGCGAGTTCTACGGCAGCGGCCGTTTAGGGTCACTGATATGGGAGTGATTATCGGGATGGTGGCTGAGCACCGCCAGCGCAACTACAAGCTGCTCGAGGCGAGCGGACTGCTGAGCGAGTTCATGTTCCACCAGCCACGGGATGAGAGTGCACTCGACAATGAGGAGCAGATGGCGCAGTTTCAATTGATCAAGTCAATACTGATGCCGGCGGCGGGCTTCCCGGGCATTGTCGCCAATCCGCTGGATCCGATCTATCGGATTGTGTACAATTCACCACGACATCCTCTCTTTTCGCCAGAGACGGGGCTGCCGAACCTACATGTTGTTGCTGCGATAGTGACGTTCTGGCAGATGATGAATATGCAGAGCGCCCTGCGGCGGTATCGCAAAGGAATGGATCCGATAGAGACTCTGCACACTCTGCGTCCATCTCCCGGTGGGTCAGTGTCGGTCGCGAACGAATCGTTTTCTTCGCCCGGTGACGGAAGCGAGGACGAGAGCGAAGATGGGCAAGCGAAGGACCCGTCGGAGAGGGAAGACGATCCGAGGCTGTTTATTGCGGCGTACGCGTTCTTCAACTACTGGGACTTTGAGCTGTTCCGCTCCGCGCCTCTGACGTCGGACACGCGCCGGTCGATTATTGGGGACATTGTGGACTGGCACATCGACTTGCCGGACGAGATCAGCGGGCCGATCTCGCTACGGGTAGAGGGCACGTCGCATCAGCTTACGGGACTTACGGAGGAGCGACGGTGTGTAATTGAGATTGAGCCAATCGATGTGCCGGTTATGGGCGTGCGTGGGTGGGCGCGGTTTTCGATGCGACATCTCGAATTTGAGCTCGAGGGAGACTACTTTGAGGAGCAGCGGTGGATACACAGGGCCGTGATGCTTCCCGGCTCGAAGGCGGTCGTCGGCCGGTGGCACGACGGCTTCGACGAGGACACCGAGCGGTCTGTCGAGGGCCCCGCTGTCTGGATCAGACAGTGAGCATGTTATGTGAACTAGAACGAACGAACTGAATCTACGATTACATAATTACACGTGACGCGGGTGTAGCCGAGCAATCAAGCCCAAAGCGGTAAGACTACCGGCCGGCGACGGGGAGATAAAACTCAGCGATAAAGGAATGAGCCGCACGGATTATGCTATCGTCTCTTTTTGCAATAGTGCCGGCCGGCAGCCTGACCGTTTTGATCAAAGACCTCTCCCCGGCTGCCTGCGTCCAACACGGGCCAGTCCACGGCCTCGTATAAGTAGCTTCCTCCATCCCTGTCTTCCGTCGTCGTAAGCAGTCGTAGGCATCCTCTTCCTCATCCCTACCCTCTGTCCACATGGAGTTCAAAAGCGACGGTCGTTGGGGTGAGACCGCCGACGGCCCCGGCGTCGACGTCCAGCAGGCCCTCGAAGAGTTTGACGACCTTCGCAGAGAGCTCTCGCGCGTCTCGAGAGCTTCGCACCGCTCGAACCTCGACCTCGAGAAGCTTCCCTCTCACGCCACAGATGTGGGCAACGACGACGCCGACGACGACGGACAGGCCTTCGACCTCGAGTCCTGGATCCGCAACGATACCGCCAAAGACCGCGAGTCGGGTATCCACCCCAAGCATGTACGCGGCAATTCCCTCATACTCTGTTCATAAGCTACGTACTGCCCACTAACAACTCGTTTCGTTCCCATCCACAGGTCGGTGTATCGTTCAAAAATCTCTCCGTCGACGGTGCAGGCTCAGGAGCTGCTAAAGTTCCAACTTTCCTCGACTCCTGTATCTACGCCTTTGGTGGGGGTTTTGTCCTCAGTCTCTTGCGCACCCTCATCCCTCCCCTTCAGCCTGCTATCCAGACGCGTCCAATTCTTCATGACTTCTCGGGCCTCGTTCGCGCTGGCGAGATGCTCCTCGTCCTCGGACCGCCAGGCTCTGGCACCACCACCCTCCTGCGCGCGCTCACCAACCAACGCGAAGGATACGTCCGCGTCGGCGGCGACGTTCTCTACGATGGAATTGAGCCACAGGAAGCCAAAGACCGGTACAGAGGCGAAATCGTCTTCAACGACGAAGACGACCGTCACTTCTCAACCTTGACTGTCGCCCAGACTCTCAGATTTGCTCTGAGGCTCAAGACTCCATCAAACAGACCGTCAGATGAGTCTGCCTCCGCCTTTGTCGAGAAGTTGAGAGAGCTTTATGGAAAGATGTTTGGCATTGAGCACACAATGAACACATTTGTTGGTGGTGACTCAAAAGCTCGCGGTGTCTCAGGTGGTGAGCGAAAACGAGTCTCCATTGCCGAGGTATTTAGAAACCATACACATTTGGCGAGATTCCACATCAATCATTCTAACAACCTCCTCTTCTAGGTTCTCGCCAATCGAGCTGCTATCGTTGCTTTCGATAACTCCACTCGAGGACTCGACGCCTCGACCGCAGTTGACTATATCCGCTCTCTGCGCATTCTGACAAACGTCACCCATTCAACCACAATCGTTACCCTTTACCAAGCCGGTGAAGGCATCTACAAGGAGTTTGACAAGGTCTGTCTCGTCTACTCTGGTCATCAAATCTATTTCGGACCCGCAAGTGAAGCAAGGGCCTACTTCGAAGACCTTGGCTTTGTCCCCGCGCCTCGCGTCACCACTGCCGATTTTTTGACCTCAATCACAAGGCCGGCTGAACGCCGTATCCGTCCTGGATACGAAAATCGCGTGCCAAAGACCCCTGAGGACTTTGAAAATGCCTACAAGGCCTCGCGGTTCTACCAGCAGACGCTTACCGAGATCGACCTTTATCATGCTGAGCTCGAAAACACCGGGCATGCCTCTGCGCAGGCGTTTACGGAAGCTGTCAAACTGCAAAAATCTGCCTCGTCCTCTCCTTACACTGTTTCCTTCTTCCGCCAAGTCCAATTGCTAATCATTCGTGAGCTACAGTTGCAGTGGCAGGATCAAGTTTTGCTGAAGACGAAGATCATCAACTCGATTGCCTGTGGCTTCATCTTTGGCTCGCTTTTCTTCAACATCCCTGAAGATACCTCGGGAGCTTTCAACCGTGGTGGTATCATTTTCTTCTCGCTCGTCTTTAACGGTTGGTGTTTGCAGGTCGAGTCCGGTAATATCATCGATCAGCGTCCGCTCTTGAACAAGCATCGCTCATTTGGAATGTTCCGCCCGGCAGCGCTTGGATTGGCAAAGACGTTTTCCGATCTTCCCATTCTGAGTGTGCAGATCTTGCTGTATGTGATCATCACCTACTTTCTCTCCAATCTCAATCGCACGGCTGGCCAGTTCTTCACGCACGCCTTCATCGTTATGATTTCAACCTTCAACCTTATGGCGTTCTATCGCTGCATCGCTGCTTTCTCTGACAATATCGATGGCTGTCTCCGACTTGTCGCTGCTGTCTTGAACGCTCTTGCTTTCTGGACCGGCTACGTGCTACCTTCGTTCAAAATGCCTTGGTGGTACAGATGGTTCTACTACGTCAACCCTCTCACTTACTCATTCGAGGCTCTGATAGCAAACGAGTTCCATGGACGCGAGATGCTTTGCGTCGATGCTCAGCTTGTTCCTAGCATCAGCGGCGTCGGTCTCGCAAACCAGGCATGCACTCTCCCCGGCTCAGTTCCGGGCGAGGCCTACGTCAGTGGTGACAGCTACATCGAGACTCAGTTCGCTTACAAGCACAGTCATCTCTGGCGAGATGTCGGTATCACATTTGGGTTTTTGGTGTTCTTCTTGATTGTCAATATGATCGTCTCTGAATTCTTGACTTACAATTCTGGCTCAGGGCAGATCAAGCAGTTTGCAAAGCTGCCTGTCGATAGTGCTGACTCTACACAGACAGCACCGTCGTCCCTGAATGAGGAGAAGATCTCGGAGAACGACCAGTTGAATAATGATGAGAGTGATGAAGAGAGCGACGAGCAGAACGTTGAGGGCTCCTTGTTCACGTTCAGGGAAGTTTCATTTACTGTCCCTACGCCTGATGGAGAGAAGCAGCTACTCAACAATGTTGAGGGTTATGCTGTTCCTGGTAAATTGCTAGCTCTTATGGGCTCTTCCGGTATGATTATCTCTTATTTTTTATGCCAGTTTCCTGGAGGGTAATGATTGCTAACATAACCTTGTTTACAGGAGCGGGAAAGACGACGCTTTTGAACACCATTTCTCAGCGCATGCGGGTCGGCCATGTCACTGGTGACTTCCTGCTTAACGGCTACCCACTCAGCAAATCGTTCCAGCGCACAACAGGCTTTGTCGAGCAGCAAGATCTCCACGAGGCTAAGCAGACTATCCGTGAGGCCCTGCGATTCTCCGCGCGTCTGCGACAGCCAAGAACAGTCTCGTTGAAGGAGAAGTACGATTTTGTGGAGAGCGTGATTGACTTACTTGATTTGGGGTCGATTGCGGATGCAATCATTGACTCTGTCGGAAGTGGGTTGTCGGTCGAAGAGCGAAAGAGAGTTACGATTGGTGTTGAGCTTGCGGCGAAGCCGGATCTTCTGTTCTTGGACGAGCCGACCTCTGGATTGGATTCCGAAGGAGCGTATGCGATTGTGTCGTTCTTGAAGAAGCTGGCCAAGAAGACACATCTGGGAATTATCTGCACAATTCATCAGCCTTCAGCTATCTTGTTTTCGCAGTTTGACAACTTGTTACTGCTGGCGCGAGGCGGCAAGACCGTGTACTTTGGTCCGATCGGACGCGGCGGTGAGACCGTGATTGAGTATTTCTCGACCTACAGCAAGCCGCCTGCTTCTGATGCTAACCCGGCCGAGTATATTCTCGAGGTCACTGGAGCCGGCGCTGGTCGTCGGTCAAAGATTGACTGGCCGCAGGTGTGGCTCAACTCGCCCGAGATTACCGTCAGAAGGCAGGAAATTGCCGACTACATCAATCGATGGCAGTCGCAGCGTCGGCCGCAGATTGAAGGTGCTAGTGACGTCGAAGAACTTGAGTTTGCGGCGCCGCTGAGTGAGCAGATCAAGGCGGTCACCATCAGGCTGGAATTGACGCTCTGGCGTACGCCGTCGCTTGGAATCTCGTTTGTGTTTGCATCGCTGTCTGCGGGCTTGACAGCGGGAATTCTCTTCTTCCAGCTTGATAACTCGATCCTGGGCATGCAATCACGGACTTTCTCAATGTTCTTCACGCTGCTGCAAATTATCCCGATCTTGAACTCGCTCGAGATTCACTTCATCGACGCTCGGGATCTATTTGATCTCCGCGAGCGCAACTCAAAGGTGTACTCGTGGGTCGCTCTCGTGACTGCGTACTTGGTTTGTCCGATCCCATACGTTCTGCTGTCGTCGGTTCTGTTCTTCCCAACGATTTGGTACATGCCCGGACTGTCGATGAGTGCATACTCTGCCGGATTTGGATACTTTTGTATCCTGCTGATGAACCTGTGGCACGCGTCCAGCGCGATCATGCTCGGAGCGTTTGTACCCTCGACTGACGCAGCGGGAGTCATCAATCCGCTGTTTTTCGTCATCACACAGGCTATCGTGGGAATCACGATCCCGCTCGCGAGCATGAATGGTTTCTATTCCAAGTTCCTTTACTGGGCTAACCCGGTCGCGTACGTGATCCGTGCGCTCTGCGTGACTGCCGAGCACAAGGTGTCGGTGTCATGCGACGAGTCCGAGCTTGCGATCTTTGATCCCCCTTCGGGACAGACGTGCAGCCAGTTTGCGCAAAGCTGGGTGGAAAGCAGTTCGCGCGGCATACTGCTCAATCCGGACGCTAATGCCGGATGCGAATTTTGCCAGTACACCGTGGGCGACGATTACCTTGACAGTCTCGGGTGGTCGTTTGGCACACGATGGAGAGATATCGGTCTCTATATCATGTTTACCGGAGTATCTTATCTGGTGCCTTTCCTGGTGTACTACGTTGCTCGGGTCATGAGCTGGAAGGGAATCACGAGGCCGTTCAAGAAACTGGTGGGCGGTTTTATGAAGAAGTAGTTATTACTACAGTACAAAACTAATACTGTGCATATATATGACGCGTTATGAGCAAGCATAATAACAAATTTGAACGAAATCGTGGATATTTTTTTCGCGGTATGACTTAATATAGTAATTCAGCAGATTTATAGTGTAATAGCAATCAATAGAATAGTAATAACAATTAATAGAATGGTGATAGCAATCAATATAATAGTTGTGACTTCAATAGAATAATGTTAAAGGTCGACTTTATTTGCAAACTGTATGAAAGAGCTTTTAAGATGAGAAAAAAATATTTCTAAGCTAAAGACAGCATATGAAAGCTTTGAGAGTTTGATAATAAACTAATAATACAGAACCAAGGGCTTGAAAACGAATGGCTTCGTGGATGTTAATTGACAGCAATGAAAAGAATCGCAGACGACATTCATCGCGCATATAAAGGAATTCGAACTGCATAAGTACACTTCAGACAAACAGGTCCAACAAAATAAGAATACGGCACAGTGTAATCATCGATACAGCCCAAACAGAAGAATATCAACAGCTCGTATCGAGTCAATAAACCGCCGACCAGGAAAAGACGCGACCGCACGTTCCTTGACGTTCTCGTAATCGTCATTTTCGTGATAAGAAGCATCGGTCATAACTGCATCACTGAAGCGTTCGTACTCGAACGCCGACCAGCTCTCTAGACCATTGTCGAATGGCACAACACAGTGTCTGTCCATGGCCCGTATTCGCTGCGGAGTGCAGGACAGGTATCTGCTGTGCTGTGCCTGACTTCGCTTTCAAAGAGCCACAGGTCGCTGCCGGCCCGTTTCGCAGTCGTCACCTTCCTCATCAGGGCTGCTGATGTAGCAGTGGAAATTTGTGTGAGTTAAATGTATTGTATTGTATAGCACAGTATCAGGTGTGTCGAATACATCCATCATCTGAAATACCTGATATGTCTTCAGATCTGAAATCGAGATGCTATAAAATGTTGCCATCGACGTTACATTTTAGCAAATGCTTTCGGTAACTCTGATATTATCTGCTATCAACGATAATAGCATAATTGACCTGCATAGTAGCCGTACAGCTGCAATCTTTTTTTCAATCATATCTATTGTTCCCTGTCTGGAAGTTGTTGCAATTGTGAAGATGAATTACGGATAAAATAGAAATAAGCTCGCTGAGGCTTCACGCTGAGTTAAATCCGACGGCTCCCAACTTGCCTTTGCCAAATACACAACAGATATCCACAATAAATACAATGACCGACTCCGGCTCAAGCTCCAGCACATCAACACCGCTCACAAGTTTAAGCACGAGCTCCGGCTCTCTTGGCCTGAACATCCAGAAACTGACCGACCCCGTGAGCGAGGTGCCCCATGACGAATTCTGGATCTTTGGCTACGGCTCGCTGATATTCAAGCCACCACCGGGCGTTGAACGCGCGGAGCCGGGATACATCACCGGGTTTGTCCGGCGGTTTTGGCAGATGTCGCATGATCATCGCGGGGTGCCGGATGCGCCTGGACGGGTGGTGACTTTGGTGGAGCGCGAGTATTACTGGTCGCGGTTGGCGGAGCGGGATCCGCATGCAAAGTACGAGAAGAAGGAGTGTCGGACGTATGGTGAGTACTCCGATGCTTTTATAAGTCATTAACTAGATCAACTAACGAAGGACTAGGAGTGGCATACAAGATAATTCCGTCACAAGTGCCAGAAGTGTCTGCTGCGCTGGACCTACGAGAACAGAACGGGTACTCTGTGCATCTGGTTCCGGTCCACGCAAGCTCAGGTTCGGTGATCCTGGCAATAGTCTACATCGGCACTCCAGACAACCATGCATTTGCCGGTGTCGAGGCTGATCTTGACAAGCTGAGTGAGCTGATTTATAAATCAAAGGGTCCGTCGGGGTATAACAAAGAATATTTGCTGAAGCTTGGAGAGGCGCTGCGGCAGCTGCACGATACGAATGGGGTGATGGAGGAGGATTATCATGTAGAGGATTTGATGGCACGGGTAAGGAAATTAGAGGCACTAGATGTAAATAAATGAACAATAGATACACTGTATATATACGCAAAACAAACAGCAATTAAAAACTCCGTGTGTCAGTAATAACCAAAAGACGAGAAGCAAAAGAAAGAAGAAAGTATTCACAAGAATGCACCAAATTAAAGAGAGGTATGTAAGTATGTAAAAGAAATATGTAAGAGAAAGATGTGTGAAATAAACAAAATCAGATATTATCGCTTTATGCGCTTCTCCTCAATTCCACTGTCGTCCTCATCGCTCCATCCATGCCGCTTCAAACTCGAGCTGGCGTCGATTGCGCCTCCGGCTGATGTATCACTATATTGATTCGCCCGCTCGACCGCTGACTGACGATCTCTGCTAAACGACTGCGCGGCAGAAAACACAACCGGGGTGTGGAACTGCAACGGACTCGGGAGAAGGTCTTGTCCGATGATGCCGTTCTTCGCGCTGAATTGCATGCCCCAGTCGGCCGGGGCGGAGAACATCGAGGGCGAGGGTAGCAGATCGGAGATATACCTCGAGGGTAGCGCCGAAACCGGGGTCTGCTCGCGGTTGGCGGATAGAGTGGCGGCGGTGGATGTTGAAGATGTGTTTGAGGGCGCTGTAGTCTGTGTAGTCTGCTGCTGCTGCTGCTGTGATTGTGACTGCTGCTGCTGTGGTTGTGCTTGCGACTGCCCACTGGAAGTCGGTGGGAAAAGGTTATGACCAGAAGAGTTTAGTGAAGGCGGGCGAGCAAACGGGTTTCCAGGACCTCCAAGCGATCCAGGGTTAAGATAGGTCGAAGGCGAAGGCGGCGGCAGGAGGACAACAGGTGATGAGAGTTCTTTATGAGCAGAGAGAGGAGGAGCAGAATTTGCAGCGGACGAGGAAGAGTCGGTCGCAGTCTCGGGTTTGGTATACTGCTGCTGATGTTGCTGCTGCTGCTGCTGTTGATGTTGCTGCTGCTGTTGCTGCTGTTGTTGTTGCTGTTGTTGCTGCTGCTGCTGCTGGTCGCCGCTCTCGGGCGGGATAGTGAGCTTAAGCTTTGGTCTGCTAACCGATGAAGCCGAGGCACCCGACTCTGCAGAGAACGAGGGCGGACTGAGAGATGGAATAGAAGCGCGAGGCTGCGCATCGACAGAGAGAGCACGGGCGGAGGTAGAGGAAGCAGCGGCAGCGGCAGCAGCGGCAAGAGCAGAGGAAGTGTTTGCAGACGACGGATCGGGCTTTGAGCCGTCGGAGTAGGCAAACTGCGGGGGGACAGTTTGTGGACGGGGATCAGAGATAGAGGCGAGGTATTGGTTGAAGTTTTGCTGGTTGGAATAGTAGTATTGCTGCTGCTGCTGCTGCTGCTGCTGTTGCTGTTGCTGTTGCTGTTGCTGTTGCTGTTGCTGTTGCTGTTGCTGTTGCTGTTGCTGTTGCTGTTGCTGTTGCTGTTGCTGTTGCTGCTGCTGACGTCTCACGCCAGAGAGCACGGCAGCGGCAGCACCGGCGCTTTCTGATACCGACGGCTGCATGCGCAGACCCGTCTGAAGCTGCTGATGATGTTGCTGCGGAGTGGTCTGCTGCTGCTGCAACTGCTGCTGCTGCGGAGGCTCCGGGGAGACATTATCAGAGAGCGCATCGTCGTCAGTGACGTCAGAGCGCCGAGCAAAGTCTGCGGGGCCTTTGGACTCGTGAGGAGCGGAGCAGGAGTAGCGGTCAAGCAGCTGGCGAGTGTCGCAGGAGGAGAACTCGTAGAGACGTTTGTTGTTGCCGAAGATGATGACGGCGATATCGACGGAGCAGAGGACGGAGAGCTCGTGGGCTTTTTTGAAGAGGCCAGCTTTGCGCTTGAGGAAGGTGACTGAGCGGTTGCGCTCGTCTTTGAGGGGTTTGATGAGGATCTTTCGTCTGCCCATAGTAATAAGAGGAAGGAGTAGCTAAGAAGAAGGTATTCAAAGTGGTGAAGAGGCTCAGGCGGAGAAAGCGACGATGGCGGCGATGAGGAAGAAGACGAGAACAAGTGCGGCGGCTGTGCTAAGTTTAGCACTTTGTGCGCGCTACGTCACACCTCGTTAGAGTTTTGCTATTAATAATCAGCTTATGTAATAGTTGACAACTGCTCTGTTAACTAGTTGCTGTGTTAATAGAATAAACACATTTAATGCGATAATAAGATATACAATAGACATATAACTGGTTGATATAACAACTACATTATACAATAAAACAACATGTATTTACTCTCTATCGCTCACTATCACCCATCTCATCACACCCTACTCCGTCTTCTTCTCCTCCGCACTCTTCGCCGGCTCCGGCTTCTTCTTCTCCTCCTCCTCCTCATCATCATCATCGTCGTCACTGCGCTCGTCCTTAAGCGTGTCGTTAAACACAAGTCTGAACGCAATCCGAAACACCAAAAACAGCCAGTACAGATTCAACAACTGCAGCGCAAACAGCAGCGCAAACGTAATGTACTGCGAAATCCAGCACTTGTACTGCTGCGTCTCCCAGTTCAGCACAAAGTCTCCCACCGTCCGGAACTCGGTCGCGACACTCCACAGGATCTTCAGACTGAGATAGTGTCGCATGTAGATCCACACTCCCATAAACACAATAAAGAACGGCGCCGTCAGCCAGTGGTTCAAGTAATTGAGCGTCTTGCTCGTCGCCAGCGCCAGATCGCTCACGTCCATCGTGATATAGACCTCGATCCCGATCCACGTGAAATGGAACCGGTACGAGCAAAAGATCAGCGCGATCGTCACAATATGATGCAGCACCAGCTCCTTGAAATCCTTCCGCGGCTTCTCCAGCTGCAGCATCAGCACAATCGCCTGCTGCGTCCAGAACGCGGCCTGCAGCAGATAGTACATCTTGAAATCCAGCTCGTGCGTCCGATGGGGCACCTCATACAGCGGCCGCGTCTCGAAATACCACAGCGGCATATGATGCATGATATAAAGCCCCCATGGTCCCATCACGCCGTCATACAATATAAAGTACGTCTGCTCCATAAACCGCTTCACCTTCGCCTCCTTCTTCAGCCCGTTCCACCGCGCAAGTGGCTCCAGAACCTGCTGCATCGTAAACTCCCGAATAAAACTCAGCACAACGGTGTAGTATGCGACAAACAGAAAGTCATTCCTGCCTTTGCCGTACATCGGAGGTCCACCTTCATACTCGGGCTCAAGCTTGTAGGACGCGAAAATCATTCCATACAGCCAGTTTGCATCGCTTTTGTCGCTCGACAGTCCGAAAGCAATTAGAGGAATCAAAAGAAGTATCAAGGGGGCGACTATATCATACCATTAGCTCTTTCTCTTTCTCTCTATCTAATCAACAGCTCATCAATAGGTTTTACTCACCCCACGTCTTCTGATAACACGTCTCCCGAAACCGCATCCACGCCCACGACCCAACTCCAATCTTCTCCACCGCCTCCCCCTCCGCTCCCGGAACAACCTCCCCTTCCTGTCCTCCAATACTCCCCTTCGACAACGCCCGCTGCCGCTTCTTACTGCCCCGGATCTGTGCTTCCGTCGCAGCCATCGTCGACAGTCCCGGGCCCATATCTCCAAGCGTAAACTGGCCTACCGACGAAGTCCGAGATCGCGTAGTAGGCGGTCGTAGTGTGTTTGTATTTGTATTTGTATCTTCCGTCATCGTTTCTCATATAAAACAGACTGTTTATGAATCTCTTCTCTTCTTCTCTTCTTTTGTTCTCTTCTCTTGTTCTCTTCTTCTTCTCTGACCTCAACTCTCAGCAAAGTTTTGTTTGTTTTGTTTCTTCTTTGGCTTTCGGACTTGTCTCCAAACCCTTACTCGCCTGTCATCCCCTTCTCTCTCCTTCTTCTTTACTCGCACCCATTTATTCTTGCAATTCACAATATCAAATATATATAACTTATAACAACTAAATATAAACTAACAACTAACAATAACTACTCTCAGCAACCTCCGATTCTTCAATCACTCAATTGTACAAATCGTCGTCGCCCTCCTCCGCGCCAAACGCCGCCGACTGGCTCTCGGTCGTAGTGCCTCCCGCAGCCGCTGCCGCCTCCGCCTCCTCGTTGCTGAACCGGAAGTTGCCAAATCCGCCCCGAGACATCTGCAACGTGTTCGCATACGCCTCGTACCGGCGCAGGTCCGCATCGCTCACACTTCGGCGCGCAGTAACCATAGCCTCCTCGAAATGGCTCTTGTTCACATACGGAACAGGATCTTCCATTGCAACATCCTCTTCTCCGGCCTCCTTCTCAGCAGCCTCAGCCGCAACAATGCTGTCCTTGATCGCAAACTTGGCCGCTCTCTGCACAATGTACGACAAATCGGCTCCAGAGAACCCATGCGTAATCTGTGCAATCTCCCGCAGGTTCAACCCGGGCTCAAGCGGCGTGTTGCGTAGCTGCGCCTTCAAAATAGAAAGTCGCGACTCCTCATCCGGCAACGGCACGTAAATCAACTGGTCCAATCGACCCGGTCGAAGCAACGCGGGGTCAATCTGATCAGGTCGGTTGGTAGCTCCAATAACAAACACGTTCTTCTTCGCTCCCATACCGTCCATCTCTGTCAAAAGCTGGTTCACAACCCGATCAGACGCTCCACCGGCATCTCCCATAGACCCTCCGCGTGACTTGGCAATCGAATCCAACTCGTCCAAAAACACTACACACGGCGCTGCGGCTCTCGCCTTGTCAAAGATATCCCGAATGTTCGACTCGGACTCTCCAAACCACATCGACAGCAGCTCAGGTCCCTTCACCGAAATGAAGTTCGCAGACACCTCGGTCGCAACAGCCTTGGCCAGCAAAGTCTTACCGGTACCAGGAGGTCCGTAAAACAACACTCCTCGCGAGGGCGACAACCCAAACTTGGCATACGACTCCGGATGCAAAACAGGGTACTCCACAGTCTCCTTCAACTCCTGCTTAACCTTGTCCAATCCTCCAATGTCGTCCCAAGTAACATTCACGCTCTGCACAACTGTCTCCCGCAACGCTGACGGGTTGGACGCTCCAAGCGCAAATCGGAAGTTGTCCATAGTAACTCCCAGGCTGTCCAAAACCTCGGCATCAATAGTCTCCTCCTCGAGATCAATCAAATCCATCTTCTCTCGAATCTGCTGCATAGCAGCCTCAGAGCACAGAGACGCCAAATCAGATCCGACGTATCCATGGGTCTCAGCCGCAATCGTCTCAAGATCAACGTCATCCCCAAGCTTCATGTTCTTGGTGTGGATCCGAAGAATCTCAAGTCGTCCAGTAGGGTCCGGAATTCCAATATCAACCTCTCGGTCAAATCGGCCGAATCGACGGAGAGCAGGGTCAATCGCGTTCGGGCGGTTGGTCGCAGCAATCACAACAACATTGGCCCGCGCCTTCATACCATCCATAAGCGTCAGCAGCTGAGACACAACTCTTCGCTCGACCTCTCCGTTGGTCTTGTCTCGCTTGGGCGCAATCGAGTCAATCTCATCGATAAAGATAATAGCCGGCGCGTTCTTCTCGGCTTCCTCAAACGCCTTGCGCAGATTGCTCTCAGACTCTCCCGCCATCTTTGACATGATCTCCGGTCCGTTGATCAAAAAGAAAAACGCTCCAGTCTCGTTCGCAACAGCTCGCGCCATCAATGTCTTTCCGGTACCAGGAGGTCCAAACATCAAAATTCCACGAGGGGGCTTGATACCAATACTCTTAAACAGCTGAGGGTGGCGAAGCGGAAGCTCAACAAGCTCACGAATCTGAGCCATCTGCTTTCGGCATCCACCGATATCGTCATATCCAACCTCGTTCAAGTTGTTCTCCTCATCCTCTCTGTTGATAGGATCGCCCTCACAGTGGATGACAGTCTCCTGTGCAACAATACCGTACTCTGAAGGCTCCATATCCACAATCTTGAACTCAACCTGTCTCATTCCACCACGGACAGTGAAGAGATCGCCTTTTCGGACAGGTCTGTAGGCCTCCAAAAAGTACGGCTTGAGGTAGACATCGAAGAGAGAGCCGGTGATACCCTCGACAGTGTCGGCGATAGGCAGGCAGGAGATTCTCTTGGCCTGGATTTATCAGTTAGCGTCGGAGTTCTTCCTTCGAAGTTTATGAATAGACAAGAACATACATATTTAATCCCGGGGAAGGCATGAACGGTGATGATATCGCCCAATCTGACGCGAAGGTTGTTTCTGACAACGCGGTTGATTCTGGCGACACCGTCCTCGACCTCCTCGTCAGCAAGGACGATAAGGGCGGTATCTTTCCTCTTCTTGCCCTTGACGATAACGACATCGCCACGGAAGAACTGGAGGAGATCCATCGTGTTTGGCGAAAGGGTGATGACCGAGTTATCGTCGTTGACGGCGTCATCAACGATCAAGGCTAGAAGGTGCAAGTTGTCATGTTAGTCATCTGCCGCACAAGGGTTTCGAATCTGATCTGCGCGGGTCACGAGAGGGGTGCAATTGGTCCGAGAGAGGGATCAAATCAAAGAAGAAGCGCGCGGGAGGATGATTTGATTGTGAGATGACTTTGGATTGGATCGAATGAATGCAGAAGGGTGCGGTGGTCGATGGGCGGGCTAGAGCACGGCCTGACGGAGGGAAGGATCCCGCGACAGGCGCCCGCTCGCGAGAGACCATCACACCCCCGACGATAGCATCCATCGCCGAACAAGCCAATCGAATCCATCTTCGAACGCAGCAGACAGGAGAGGCAACAATCAAGTAAACAAGGATAGATACACACCATTGTCTTTCTTCTTCTTGCGCAGGATGGCGGTCGCGGTGGCGTCCTCCTTGGACTGGTCAGCGCCAGAGGCATCGGCGAGATTCGCGTGATGCTTCTTCTCGGGTTCGGACGACATAATTAAGATCGGCTATGAGTAGATGAAGAATAAGATAGCAGAACAATCGATCGACCGGTGATTCCTAAAGGGAGATGGGGATGGGTGGGAATTGGATGGAGAAGAGGTGATGTGAGGGAGGAAGCGTGGTAGGGAAAGAGTGGGGAGAGCTGTCGGAAGGCGACAGAACAGGTGGCTTTGGTGATGTAATCAGGCCGGGTAAATATTGACCACCCACCACCTCCGGTCTTGGTCGTGGATTTGGAGACGTTGGAGCTCTGCGGTGTTCAAGAACGCTCTAGAAGGTGTTTATGACTATTACTTTGATGCTGATGCTGTTATTGTAAGAGCTGATGCTGACGAGCAGGTGGTAAGCATGCGCGCTGTCTAAACCCTGACGCAATCTGGACAGCTAGCAGCTATCGGATTAGCTTTCATGAGGCATCTTGTTCAGAGATATGGATTCATATTCTTTCGGTATCAGATAATACGTGCGCCAATGAAGTAGATGCAGTCGCGACACACTAAACAAAAGAAGAAAACAGGAAGATAAAGAGGGAAGAAAAAATACACGGCTGACGACAAGCCAGATAAGCAAAAAGAACAGGAATAAAACCAAAGTCAAAGATAGCAGTTTATAACCAAGTCTGCGGCAAAATGAAAACAAACATTATATACTATAGAAATACTTTAAACATCTTTGTAGATCAGCAGAGGATCGCCAACCGCAGTAATCTCGGGAATCGTGCATTTGAGATCGAACGCCTTTGAGAGAACAATTTTGAAAATCTACGACGATAGTCAGCAATACAGTACAAGCAAGAGATCAAGATAACCAGAATTCATACCTTTTGGATGTTGATTGAATGGCTCGCGGAGCAGAATATCAAGCTGGCCTTCATCACTTTAGCGAACCTTCGCGCCTGTATACCCCAAGTCCACAGCGGTTAGCAATTATTTCACAACACATCAACAGAGCCTCAAAACAGACCTGTTTTGTAATTTCCTCCTGATCCTCTCTCGGGAAAACAGCAAACGTATCGTATTTTGTTCCTACCAGGAACGGGATCGCAGTCTATATTCAGATGAGCCAAGTACTCTGACTGCAAAACAACTTAATGACTCTCACCTTATTGAATCCCCGCGCTTGTCTGTACCATTCCTTTATCGAATTGAGCGTGGATTTACGCGTCAGATCAAACATAAACAGAATCGCGACAGCGTCATTAGACACCAGTGGCAGCATATTGACAAACTCTCGCTGGCCGCCCAGATCCCAAATCGAAAACGTAATGTCGGTATCTCGGATCGATATTGTTTTTTCCATGAAGTTCACACCTAGAGTAGTTGTAAGTCGTGAGAAGTCGATCACCCACCATAATAGAGATAGATCATACCCAGGGTCTGTATATAATCTTCGTCAAAGCTGCCTTCGACATATTTCACCATCAATGACGTTTTCCCGATCTGGGCATCTCCAATCATGCCGACCTTAATGACAACACTAGATATAGGACTCTGATCAGCATCGATCATACAAAAACAAGAGCAAGTAGGCAGCATACGCGTTCTTGCGCGAGTTCGCACCCTCCGAGGTGTACTGTGATGACGAGGATGAAGACATTGGCGGTGGTGTGTGGGTGTCGATAGAGATATGGGGCTATAATCAAACAGGAGGCAGAGCAGGGATCGCCAGGCGCGAAAGGAGAGAAGGAGAGCTCGAGGCCGGCAGTTCGCGTGAGTGAGCAGGATCCAGAGAGAGGGAAGGGCTAAGGAGAGGACGAGGCGTAGAAACGGTGCAGCGGGTGGTTTTGTTTTGACGAACGCGCTTTAGTAGCCCAGCTGCATCTGCGATCGGCGCGGGAGACTTGCGGCAGCGCCGGGAAGACCGAGACGAGGAAGAAAGGAGGAGGAGAATGAAAGAAGGACCTCGGACGACAGCAGGAAGATAGTTGCTCGACCTAAAAACACAGGCGGGCGGGACAAGAACAAGACACGCGCGTTTGGGTGTTTGGGAAGTAAACAAGGACGACGGCCGCCGGGAGGAGGTGTGACAGGGATACGCACAAACCAGGCCGGGCGTGTTTTTCTGTTTGTTTACTTTTTCGTCTGAATAGCACAAACGCGGCCCCTGCCTTGGTTCCCCGTGACCTATGAGTCATGTGTTAGTAAGCATGTCAGCAGCGGGTCTGGTGCTGTCTCACTGAGCGCGGCTGGAGCCGAGAGGCCACAAGAAGGCTAAAATAGGCAGTCGAGCAACATTCCTGCCTCCTCTCCACCTTCACCATCTTCCTCGCCCGGCCCGAACCAGCAGCTTGCGCTCTGTTCTTGTCTTTCTGCTGCGCGCTTGGCGATATTCGTCACCGGCTTCATCTAATCCTTCAATCAAGACTCTCGTCGCGCTCCAAGCCTCAGCCGCGCCCCACTCGAGCCGCTCGCTGCAAAACCGCAGCCACTCTTTCTCACCCGCCATATTTATTCCTCTCCGCGCGCTTCTTATCCAACCCCACCAAACAGCTATGTCGGGCGACGGACTCCCGGTATGTGTCTATTGCGAACAGTACAATCATTCTGAATTACTTACTAACGCGCTTCTCTGCAGCCTATGCCGACTCCGGCAGAGTTTCACGCGCAAGTCAGACCCTCCCAGCAACAGCAGCAGCATCACAACGCGCGCCCAAAGCAATCATCCTCGCGTCCTGTCCAGCAGCAAAAAATGCAGCAACAGCCTCCTCCTTCTCATTCATACAGTTATCAGCAGCAGTATCAGCAGCCCCAGCAGCCCCAGCAGCAACCTCAGCAGCCACGATACGCGCAGCATCAGCCCGTTCCGCCACCACTTCATCAACAACCCCCGATACCACAGCAACCCCAGCAACGACAGTACAACGCCTATCAGAGCGCTCCGCAGACTTATCAAGAACCACAGCTATGGAAATCCCAGCAATATTACCAATCTCCGCCCCCGCAGCAGATGGCCCAGCAGTCGCCTCCCCATCTGACACAGCCGCGACAAGGGTCACAGGGATCTATCAATCAACCGTACCAGCGACCATCATCAGTCAAGCCTTTTCTGCCACCGCCATCCGCGACTCCTGCACCAGCTGAGTCAGTAAGACAGATATTTAGAAGTGTGGATGTCAACAGTAAGCCTCCTTTCCTCCATTTATCAACTATACTGCATGTGATATGCTGACCTCCAAAGACAACGGAAGATTATCGGAACGAGAACTTCGGAGCGCGCTGCTGAATTTTGATCGCTCCAAATTTGATCCGACAACCGTCAAGCTCATGTTTCAGATGTTTGACTCTGATCAGTCTGGCACAATAACTATCGACGAGTTTGGTAAGTCCTTCCCTCGTTCTTGACGTGTACGCCCGTTTACTCTATTTACTAACGCGTTTTTATACTTGCAGAGAGGCTTTGGGATTATCTATCTAAATGGCAAGAGCGATTCAAGGAGTTTGATCTTGACAAGACATTCACAATATCACTCACCGAATTCGATCTGGCGCTGAAGGGTATGTGCTGTCTGAAGAGTAGCTTCGGTCAACGGTACGCTAACAACTGTGATACTATAGCATTCGGATATCGCTTGACGCCAGATTTTACAAAATTCGTGTTTAATTCATACGTCAAACGATCAAATGATATGACTTTCGATCTCTTTGTCCAGTCCTGCGTCACTCTCCTACATCTCTCGGCTAACTTTAACAAATACGGGCCCGATTCAAGAGGTGTGTTTATTAGCACCAGTTCTCACTTTTCCTCTCTATTCTAATGCTAACTATTTTGAATAGGCACGATACAGCTCAACTTTGAGCAGTTTATGACAGAGGTGATAAATCTTCGGTGATCTTATCACTCTATCTTTAGCTTTTAACGCTTTTTTGTATGACTATATCCTTACTCTGAATTTTGTATGCCTAGATTGTAAACTATTTAATTCCAACTTTTCCTCTGTAATTATAATCTACAATATCTTCAGCAAGCAGAATAAGAGATAACTATCTGATGATCTACAACGCTGATCCTGGCTAGTGCAACCAGGGACCGAGACCTGAACCCGCAGCCGCACGATCTCACCACCGGTTCGGTTCAGGTTTGGCCCCGAAATCAATTAAAACCAGACCTGAGCTTGTTGTAGTTCACCATTACTCTTCCGACTTGCGCTCCTTGTCCCTGATCTTTGTTCAAAAATTGTATTTAATGAGCGTCGTGTAGCTCTGCACTCTTACTGCTTTGCTAGAACTTTTTCGCGTTACAGAAGCTGAAAAAAATCCAGTCAACAACCCGGGAAAACGAGAAATCACCTTCCCGACAAGCAGCGAGGCAACAGAACAACACAAACAAGCTGCAATCATGGCAGACGCCCAAGTACGAGCAAAAGTTCACCAGAAGCTTGTCGAGTCTGGAGAATATGAGAGGTTGGTTTTTTCTTGCTTGCTGGTGTTTTGTATCGCGTTTTTAAGGCGGTGTGCTAATTCCCTTGTATAGGATATCGACCCATTTGCGCCAGAAACTGGTCGAGTCCGGTTGGTATGATCAAGTTAATCAGCTCGCGTCAGGTAATCTCTATCCCTCTGTTGAAGTGCGAGGAACGAATCTCCTGGTGTCTAATCTTCTTTCAGAGAAACTGCGTGCTCAAGACAACCCCAACTTCAACAAACTCGTCGACGATATCGAGCCTAAAGCTCTAGACAGCGTCCCAGACGAGATCAAAATCGACGCGCTCAACATGATCAAGAAGTTCTTAGACGGCATTGTTGAGAAATAGTCTTTTGACCACTTTTCATTCACTCATTCACTCCATCTCTCTTTCGCTATCTCATGTGCATGCACAGTGCATATTATCCCTGTCGCAGCAGGGAAGGCACTCGTGACGCGATCGCTTGCAACCGTACGCGGCCCCACCTCTCTTGTTCGTCTTCACTTTTGCCTGCTCTTTAATGATATTCCCAAAGTGCATTTCTTTTTGTTTTATATCATGATCCGCCGTTTTGCTTTTACTTTACCTTGTGTTTTTCACTATAGTTTGTAGGTTTGGAAACGGGAGTTTACTTTTTTCTTTACAGTTTTTTGCATGAATTTTCCGTTTGTATTAGGTTATATAGTCTGGTAATCTTGATAGCAATTCATCTCACACGTTTGCCAAAAAAGAGAATCCTATACTTTTAGGAGCTACCCCTGTCATGAAGTGGTATATATTAGTTATTTGTAGACATCACTGCCCCACAAGGATGAGAACTTTTCTATTATCTGCTATGCAACCCAATATACAAAAAACACATTTAACTACGCGCCCGAATAGCAGGCACACCAGCAAATTTCTTGCTCTTGCGCGCAGCCTTCTTGGTCTGCGAAAGCTCCAGTGCCGAGTCTACAATCTCCAAAACCTCAATACGGCCCTGCAGATCCTCAATCTGCGTCCCAACCAACGACGAGATTCTGGAGATTAAATCTTCCTGTAAAGTAAACAGACCAGAGGCATCCACGAAGCACGAAATGATCTGCCAGGCGTCGAACTCGTAGCCCTCGTCGTCAGAGTCGGACAAAGATGACGAGGAAAGAGATGTGATTAGGTCCAGAAGATCCTCAAGCGCAGACTGAATCTCGCTAGAGTTGTACTCGCTACTGATCGTCTTCACTGTAGCTTGATACGAGAAATCCTGCTCGATGCGCACAATAGTCTGCTCGATAACCTCCGTCCGCAGCTCGTCGTCGATTTCCGACTTTTTCTCCAAAAACGCGAAAAGCACAGCCACCAGCTCCGAAACCGGCAGCATCGTCGTCAAATGCAGCGCCGTCAATAATAGCTTTGCATCGTACTCACTCAGCGCCGGGAGCAAGCCTGGCAACTTCTCGATCGGCAGCAATGGATGGCTCAGGATGAATCCGAGTGTCAGGCGCGGCACAAACGAGGTATAGAGCTTAACTCCTTTTGCGGACTCGTCGAGGGTGAATATCGACTGTGTGATGAGCTCGATGAGCGAGGCATCGACCTGGAGCGAAGTTGTGGGATCGTAGTAGGGCAACGAAGCGAGAACAGAGGTCTCCTTCACGTTCGGAGGAGTCTTGTTGAGGTCATACCACCGCTCTTGATTGGAGAGGTAGAGAAAGACGCGGTTGTCAAATCCAGAAACATCGCCGTTTGATCGCAGAGTTTTTATCTGTGGGGCCACCTTCTGGAATTCTGCCGAGGACATTGAGAACGCCTCTTGTGCCAGATCTTTGTATTTCTTTGAGCTGGTTTCCCGGTTGAAGAGGATATCAGCAAGAACAGGTTTCTCAGCTCCTGCTTTAGGAACCGCCTTGACGCTACCGGTGATGCATTCGAGCAACTTGCCAGATCCAACCACAAACGAAACAGCCTGCACTAACCCAGACTTTGACACGCCGATCGCAGTTCGCTTGCCAACTCGCTTGAGCAGTTTAAACCCAGCCGAGTCGCCAGTGTCGGCGGACGACAGGTCAAGAGATGCGAGGATCGTCTTGTACTGCCAGTTGATGAGCATGAGGGATGTTCCGGTCGATAGCAGGATCGAGGTCTTTCCAGAGGGGAGAAATGAGAGGTGGTCGGTGAGGACAGAGTTCTTTTTCTTGCCGGATTTCGGGGTGAGGAAGGAGACAAGATCGACTGATGTGTGGCTCAGAGCCGGGATGGTGATGATTTCTAGGGATCCACCGGAAAGGAAGAATAGCACACCAGATTCGTGGTATTGAATCAGTTCCTAGAGAAAGAGAATGTTAGTGTGTAGTTCTGATATTGTTATGAAATATGAAAGGTCTTACATTAGACTGTTTTCGTAGCACCAGATTCCATTGGTCTGACTGAACGCTATCAGAAACTGAAACTGAAAACTTTCGAACATCGACCGTGTCAGGACTCGACCGGCAGACGAGGAGAAGAGAGATATCGGCCTCAGACGAACTGGAAAAGTCAAAAAAGAGGACTTCATTGTCCTTGGAGTCGTACGGCTTGGTAGTCCAAAGATGCTTGAACTCGCGTTTAATTTCAGCTGGAGACTCTTCTTCCTTTTCTTCTCCCTCTTTCTCTTCGTTTTCCTCGTCGTTTCCGTCCAGCTTCATATCATCATCTGCGTCGTTGCCAGCTGAGATCTCAGTCTCGGTGAACTGGTAAGCTGAAATCTGACCGTTGACAAAGACGACAATAATGACATTGTCGTTAACAAGCTTGAGAGCTGAAACAGCGAGGGTACCAAGCTCCAGCTCGCAAACGACGCCATTCTCCTCGATCCTTCGTAAAAACACAGTCCTCTTGCGTTCTCTAATGGCAGCATAGATAGTAACTCCCTCGGTCGCGGCGTTCTTGCTCGCCTTGTCAAGCACAATAACAGGACACAAGATCTCAGCCAGCGGAGAGATGGCGACAGAGGACACGAGCCTTGGAGCAGGACGAAGGGTGAATCGCGAGATTCCAGCGGCCGAGATGGAGAGATCGACTGTGGTGGACTTTGGGGCCGAGACGTGGAATGAAGTGGTTTTGTTCAGCCCAGAGATTGCTGGTAGGCTGTATACCGTGAACGGCTGTGATATTGTCGACATCTTGGTGTGCAGACTGCGAAAAGATCAAGATGCCGTCGTTGTTTAGTTGGAATCTTTCAATTTGGGAGAAGAAATCTTCTGAAAAAAAATCTCATCAGGAAGTAGAATAAGGTTTACCGCAGCCCCTGAGTGCTTAGTAAGTAATTGCGTAACTGAGGTTAGGTGTTCTTTGACTGGATCCGCAAGGACAGCGAGGACACGACGATCCGGGGATTTTGATCTTCTGTACCTTTCATTCCATTACTTCATCCAAGATGAGTTTCACTGGATTTCTTCCAGTAAGTATATCTTTGTTATTTTATTGACTGTGAATTGCGCTGACGGTTAATTAGTCTCTGGCGGCAGCGCTCGACAAACCGGGGTTCAACTGGAAAGGCCTCATACTCGGTTTTTCAGCAGCCAAGTTTGCGTTCGACAGCTACCTGAGTTACCGTCAATATCAAGTGTTGAAGCGCACGTCGCCTCCCAAGTCGCTTGAAGGTGCGATTGATCAGGAGACGTTCATAAAGACTCAGACGTATGGCAAAGCGAAGGCCAAGTTTGGGTTCGTTAGCAGCATCTACGGATTTGTTCTTGATTCGGCGATCATTCTCTGTGATGTTTTGCCAAAGCTCTGGAGTGTTTCTGGGACTGTTGTCTCGCTGTATGCGCCACTGCGGTTCTCTGGAATTGTGAGTATTTTAGACTTGTTTGAGATGCTAGAAGTCATGCTGACGGAGTATAGATCTCTCAATCGGTCACGTTCTTTCTCGGATTCAATGCTCTTTCTTCGTTGATTTCTCTTCCAACATCGATCTACTCTACGTTTGTGCTTGAGGAGAAATTTGGATTCAACAAGCAGACTCCTTCTCTGTTTGCCTCTGACTTTTTGAAAAATCAGGTTATTAGTGCTGTCATTGGAGGCCCTTTGATTGCTGCGTTCTTGAAGATTGTGGATTACTTTGGCGCCAACTTTTTCTACTATCTGTGGGTGTTTGCTTTTGTCTTCCAGCTGTTTATGGTTACCGTATTCCCGATTGTGATTGAGCCGCTGTTCAACAAGGTGACACCGATGGAAGACGGCGAGGTGAAGAAGCAGGTCGAGGATCTTGCTGCCAAGCTCAAGTTCCCGTTGCAGGAGGTTTACCAGATTGACGGATCCAAGAGATCAGCCCATAGTAATGCGTACTTTTACGGCTTGCCGTGGAAGAAGCGAATTGTGATTTACGACACGCTGTTGGAGAAATTCGAGCCGATTGAGATTGTCGCCGTTCTTGCGCACGAGCTTGGTCACTGGAGTTTGTCGCACACGAGTCAGTTCTTGATGATTAACCAGGTCTATATTTTCTCACTCTTTGTGGCGTTCTCGGTGTTTATCAAGAACCAGTCGTTGTATCAGAGCTTTGGATTTGGAACGCAGACGCCTGTTATGATTGGCTTTATTTTGTTTAGCGATATCTTGAGTAAGTAGCTAGTCTTGCGAGAGATGGAAAGAGGGTGATTGCTGACAGTTGCTATTCTATAGCTCCCTTGAACAGCTTGTTGCAGTATGGAATGAGTGTGTTGAGTCGCAAGTTTGAGTACCAGGCCGGTAAGTGATCCGAAGAAGAGCTAGAGAGAGGACTGAGACTGACTTTTTATAGATGCATTTGCGGTGGAGTTGAACTACTCCAAGGAGCTAGCGAATGCGCTGATCAAGCTCCATATCCAGAACCTGAGCACGATGGATGCGGACTGGCTCTACAGCAGTTACCACTATTCCCACCCGATCTTGCCCGAGCGGTTGAGTGCATTGGGCTGGACGAGCGAGAAGAAAGACGAGTGATGTACTTTGTCTAGATATGTTGTAAACACAAAGCACTGAAGACTTGGTGTATATAAATTGAGAAACTGTTCAGAGACTACTGTTCAGAGCAGATGGGAGATTAACGGTGACGTCATCGTTTTGATGTCAGGGGCAGGCAAGAAAGGTCCCCGGTGAATAACATTAAAGAACAAAGAATACAGAAAACAGACAAAGAGAAGGAAAACTGCTGTAGAATAACATTTGTTAGAATACAAACAAGAAATACTGATAGTTGATCTTTGGGCTCATTTTAATTCTCTTATTTTCTCCATTTTTTTCTCTATTTTCTGTTTTCTTTTTCTCGCTTCTTGGCGAGCACGCGTCAGGCTCAGCTGCGATCCGCGATAAACCGCCTTCGACCCTTCGTCTTCACCTTCGTCTTCACCGCAGCGACTCTGCAAAATATCAGCAAAACCTCAACAAAACCTCCTCCTTATCTTCTGATAACACATTAATTCAACAGCCAATCAAAAACCAGAGCAGACCATTGGCTTTCTCGGCATCCTGGGCAGGCGCGGAGATAGAGTTTTATCTAAAACTCTAATCTACTTCCGTCCGTCTTGGGTCTCAAACCGCTTTGTACAGTTCTCTTCCTCACCCACTTCCTCTTCCCCATATCCCTCCCTCTCCCGCTATTCCCTGCTGATAACCATGGCGTGGGACCAGCTGTGGATCAACAAGCCACATTTAGCGTACGCTATCATCGGTGGCTTCACCACAATCTTCTCCCTCATATCCCTTTTCGTCAAAGAGAAGCTGTATATAGGTGAAGCCAGTACGTCTCCCCACCCCCTTTGCTCTATCTCCTGTTTGATTGGCATACTCACGTTCTACACTCTCAGCCGTTGCCACAGTCACCGGCGTTATCTTTGGCCCCTATGCCGCAAACTTGCTTGACCCCTCGACATGGGGAAACACAGATTTCATCACGCTCGAGATTACGCGCGTCGTCCTCGTCGTCCAGATCTTCGCCGTCGCCGTCGAATTGCCCAAAAAGTACATGCTTCGTCACTGGGTCTCGGTTTTCATGCTGCTAGTTCCCGTCATGACCTACGGCTGGCTTCTGGCCTCGGTCTTCATCTGGAAACTCGTGCCCTCCCTGCGCTGGGTCGAAGCCCTTGTCGTAGCGGCCTGCATCACCGCCACCGACCCTGTCCTCGCGTCGGCTGTCGTCGGTAAGGGAAAGTTTTCAAAACGTGTCCCAGGCCACTTGCGAAACATTCTCTCGGCTGAGTCTGGCTGTAACGACGGCATGGCCTTTCCTTTTGCATGTACGTATCTTTATATTCTCAATTGTTCTATATCTTGACAAATAACTGACACTCGCAGATCTCGCTCTGTACCTTATTCGATATGAAGGTCACGGCGGCAAGATTGTAGAACACTGGATTCTTCTCACCATCCTCTACGAGTGCGTCTTTGGCTGCATCCTCGGCGCCATGATCGGCTACAGCGGTCGCCATGCCATCAAGTACGCAGAAAAACACAACCTCATCGATCGCGAGTCCTTCCTCGTATTCTACTTTGTTCTCGCGCTCTTCTGCACCGGTATAGGAACGATCCTGGGTACTGACGATCTCCTCGTCGCGTTCTCGGCCGGTGCTGCTTTCTCATGGGACGGCTGGTTCACGCGCAAGACCGAGGAGTCGCATGTTTCTAACGTTATCGACCTCTTGCTCAATCTTGCCTACTTTGTCTACTTTGGGTCTATCGTTCCCTGGCATCTTTACAACACCCCCGAGCTCGGTCTCAGCCCATGGAAGCTTTCTATTATTGCGATTCTTCTTATTCTTTTCCGCCGCATCCCAATCATGCTCGCAATGAAACCTCTCATTCCAGACATTCGCACCTGGCGCGAGGCTCTTTTCTGCGGCCACTTCGGCCCTATTGGTGTCGGCGCTGTCTTCATGACCATCCTGGCTCGTGCCGAACTCGAGCACGATGAACCAACTCCGCTCGCGGATCTACCCGCAGAAGGCTCGCCCAACTACGTGATTGTCGCTACGATGTGGCCGATCGTCTCGTTCATGATCATCGCGTCGATCATTATCCATGGCTCGTCGATTGCTGTGTTTACCCTCGGTAAGCGACTCAACACGATGGCAATCACAATGTCCGTCACAACCGGCAACCAGAGCGGTCCGTCGTGGCTGCAGCGTCTGCCGCGGATGGAGTCCTCCACAAGTGTCTCGTTCCGCAAGGTTGAGACCACGCAGAACGACGCTCTCAATCGGCTCTTCCACCGCCGCGCTGCTGGTCTCGCACCGAAAGAGGATTCAGTCAGTGATGCCGCAGACATGAACGGCGACGTCATCCGTCGTCGTCGGCGTCCACCTGCAAAGGCTGCGGGACGGATGTCGAACCCAAAGGCAGACAACAAGAAGAAGACCAAGAAGCGTCGGCAGCAGGAGCGAAAACGGCGAGACTCAGAGGGTTACGACGCTTATGACGACGAGCTTGAAAGAAGGCCTACGGCGACGACGGACGATGGCGTGGTTTCGGCTGCGGACTATCCTGCCGGCACGGTGCTCTCAGAGCAAATCTCTCGCAACAGCGAGGAAGAAAACATTGAAGAGCGGATTAACCCGGACAACCACACAGTCTACCAGGAAGGAGATAATCTGATTGTTGAGGACGAGAACGGCGAGGTTCTGACTACGATCAACTCTACGAACGGACGGCCTAGTGCATGGAATGAGCCTGGATTGGAGCCTTCTGATTCGTTTGATAGTTCGATTATTGGAAACCAGCGCCGGCCGCGGCGGAAGGTGGGCGACCTCGAGAGCCTTGGAGCGGCGGATGATTCTTCGTACGCGGCGACAGACGAGGCCGGAGGTACGCAGAGACGAACGCGGGCGATTGCGTACCAGCTCGATGACGAGATTATCGTCGAGAATGAAGAAGGCGAGGTCATCAGACGGTACCATATCAACCGGCACAACAACGGCAGTGCAAACGGAGGGTCGCAGTCGCGGCCGGGAGGCGTCGAGAGTAGTCTCGAGAAGGCGCTTTCGTGGGTCGGTCTGCGACGTGGAGGGTCGGTTGCACCTGGAGGCAGTTCTGGAGCCGGGTCGAGTTCGGCCGCGGCTGCGGCAGCTTCAGGGAGGAGATCGAATCAGCATGAGATTGGTGGTCTGGAGTTGCAGCGCTTAGACTCGACACTCGACTGCACAACGGTTAGCTCATCGGGGTCGATGATAAGAGGGGCGCATGGTATTGAAAAAAGCGATTTACCGCGGAACTTCTTGCAGCGTCGTGCGGATGATGATTTGATGCCGGTGCGGGCACCGCATAAGAGTCATAAGGGAGTTGATGACGATGATGATGAGACGCCAGCGGAACGGAAGAGACGGTTGGCGGCGCTGAGTGGAGCTGCTAGTTCTGGAGATGATGAAGCAGACGAGACGCCAGCGGAGAGGAAGAGGCGGTTGGCTGCGCTTGGAGTGAAGGATGAGAAGGAGGATAGAGGGCGGTATCGGTATGAGGAGGAGGATGAGGAGGAGGAGGAAGAGGAAGAGGAGGAGGAGGAGGAGGAGGAGGAAGAAGAGGAAGAGGAAGAGGATGATGAAGAGGAGGAGGAAGAAGAAGAGGATGAGGATGAGGATGAAGATGATCTGGATGATGAAGATTATGTGTCGGACGGAGGAGCATCATTTTCTCGAAGCCGAAACTCGCAAGAGGTCCCGTCACGGATCTCGTTTGCGGGCGAGACAGATGTGGAACGTCGTCGTCGTCTAGCTGCGTTGGGATTCGCGGCACCTACTTCATCATCAAACAACGATAACGGTGGAGAGACGACGAATAACGCGACGACAACAACGTCGTCTTCATCTTCATTATCAGCCACAGCTGTTGGCTCGTCGTCTGGATCGCCTGAAGACACGCCGTCTCCTGAGAATACGAATAATAACAATAACGGAGGCGGCCCGTCGATATCGCGAGGAATCACATGGGGATCGGTGAAGAGATCGCATTAGTGGATTGTGAGGTTTTGGCGTCTACTTTTGTATCTGTTAGTTTCGTATATCCATATTAGAATTAGATAGAGCATGGACAGTGATGTGGTCTTGTCTAGTTCTAGTCTCAATGCATCATTACATTACACGTCTATGAGTTGGTTCAGTCTTTAATCCAATATATTACATCTCTGAGTTGGTCTCTGAGTTGGAAGTGCTCCGCTGGAGGTCGTGGGATGCGTACGAGAAATTAAGATTTGTAGATAGTCTCAATTGCGGATAAAGTTGGTAGATTGGCAATTTAAGAGCAAAGCAGGTCACGCTGCTAATACTACGTACGCTCCACGTCACCTCGGGACAAGAGTGGATCATGTGCTGGCTACGAAATAAAGAGATGGATATATATGAGCTAATATATAAGATGCAAAGTACAAAAAACAACGACACTATTGATACATGAGAGAGAACAAGTAGATCAGTTGGAGGATACGGGAGAGATGCGACGGCGGCCGGCGACTCTGCCTGTACTGCTGGTGGTGGTCAGTCTGGATATGGGGACAGCCTGGACCTTGATAGAGAAGGGGATGCAAGAGAGTGGGACCTCGGAAGGAAAATACATGGCGACGTAGTTTGAGCTCGTGTAGCCGAAGGGATCTCGGATGACGTCTTGGTTGCAGGCAAAGAAGTTCTTGGTCGAGCCCGCGATAGAGAAGAGGCCCATGGGGGTCACGTCGATGCCGATCTCGGGCACGGTGGTGGTGAACTGCACGAGGTGGTCGGCGACGGTGAGGTAGTATGGCGGGCTGCTGGTGAGGGCAAAGTCGGAGTGGAAGGAGCCGTTGGTGCGGTCGTAGTAGATTATCTCGCCGGCGGAGTACTCTCCCTGGCGGCCAAGGAAGAAGTAGCTGGTGCCGGCGCCTTCGGGGAGGGCGTAGAGACCGACGTTGGAGAAGCTTGGGTTGGAGGTGAGGGCGTGCAAGGTCACAGGTATGGCAGCGAGCGCGGGCGCCAGGAAGGGCGCGAGGAGGAGGAGCAGGATGAGCATCTCGAAGTGCGAGAGATGGACGACGGGAGATAGAGGCAAGAACAGAGGGAAAGGACAGAGAACAGGACGACAGAAACAGAACGGGCGGAAGGGTATTCTTAACTTATTCCAGCGGAGACGATCTATTTTCATCTCGAGGCAGGAGCCCGAAAGTAAACAAATCGAGTCTGAGCTCTCAGTTCCCCAGAGTCCGAGAAATCTATTAATATTTTTATGATTATTTCCCAGATCGGGAGACTCATCACGTTCTCTGCCCGATTCGGCAGGTGGGCTGCCGGATGGGGTAATATTCTGCATCCCGTGACGGACAGTTTGCTGTCAAGGCCGCAACGGCAAACTTTGGTCTTTGTGACTGCGGTGGATTGGCGATTGAATTCGTGTTCGCTGCAATGACGTTACGATATGTGTAGAGATGAGGAGTAGAGGAGTAGAGGAGGGAAGAGAAGAAGGCTGTTGCTGGTAGTAGCGGTGGAGTGGTAGGTCGGTGAGTGCGAGGAATACTCGATATTAGTTAGAGCAATAAAACAAACAATAAATGAGTATTTTCACAACTTCTGCTCGTTATTGCTGATACTTTGCTTATTGCTGATATATTGCTGGTATCCTGATACTCTTACTGCCCTGTTTCTAGTTGTATTGATACTGCGATGACGAGTTGATGACCACGGGCGGCACTGGCGGCACCAGCCCCTCGCATTACATCATCGCCGGTGTCTACCGCTAACACGCCACCGTTTACTTCGCACTAAAAGTAGTCTGGGCGATCCCAGCACCAAACCTCATCTCTCGTCAACTCAATCACCAAATCATCCTCTTCACCACCAAATTTTCTGTCCCGCCTCTGTTTATCAACACAAACAACCCGCGGATCCCTCGGCTCCTCTTTTCCTCTTCTTTTACTTCTTCTCTCTCCAACCTCCTCTTCTCCCTCCCCTCCTCACCTCCACAATGTCCGCCAACGACGCTGCCGACATTGTCATCCTCGGCATCCCTCTCAACTACATCATCGCCGCCTTCCTCACCAGCTCCCCCATCACCTCCTATGCCGACCAAATGTTCTACGTCTGGCGCCGCAAGTCCTCTGACGGCTTTGCCCTCGACACATGCGCCTTGCTCATCGCCGTCTCCACCCTGCGCATCTTCTTCTGGTTCGGCCGCGACCTAGAGCTGCCAATCTTCCTGCAGTCTTGCTCAATGCTCGGCGTCCAGCTTATATATCTCAAGCTGGCACTCATGTACATGCCTGCTGCTTGGAGACGCGCAAAATCCATGGAGGACGTCTTCATCCCTTTCAAGCGACCTTTCTACTTTTGGCAGTGGAAGAGTGATTGGAAGTTTTATCTGGTACGATCTTCCCTGCTTTCAAAACCTCTACAGTCTCATCCTGCCTTGTCGCTCTACTTCATCATCTTCTATTTTTCCTTCTTCTCTGTTTACTTCTTGTTTGTTTGGGCTACTGTCGGCTGCTCTCGAGTGCTGTTGATATCTGCGCTGGCCGCCTGTGCCGCGTATCTCTTATCTCACGTCACGTGCAGACTTGAGCCGCACCGGCAAGCCGTGCTTATCGATTGTAAAACCATTGGTCTTTGCGTATCTGCGGCCCGCAAACGCCACATTTTCATATTCTGTGCCTATGCTTTGTGTTTACGTGACAAAACAGGAAATGGTGGGATTATGTCTGAACTACTGCTAACTTTTTATTACAGTGCATCGCCATCTTCATGGGCACCCTTGCGCTTCTTCAGTTCCTCCTCCGCTCGTTTGACACCTGGTTCCTCTTCATCGAGCGTCTCGCTGTCGCCTTGGAAGCCTTCATCCCCCTCCCTCAGCTCATCCTCAACTACACCCGTCACTCGCTCTCCGGCTTCCGTTTCACTCTTCTCTTTGCCTGGGTTTCTGGTGACTTTGTCAAGACCTTGTTCTACTACATCAACGGCGAGGCATACTACTACCAGATCGGCGGCACATGCCAGACTCTCCTCGACTGCGGCATCCTCGCCCAGTACGTCTACTATTGGCGCAAGAAGCGTCTTGAATCCAAGCGCCAAGCTGAGCTCGAGGGACTCGAAGTCGAAGAGCTAAGTCTGAACGAGACCAGCATCTCTGCCGACGAAACCTCTGCCTTGCTCGCAAACGAAGAAGCCATGCCGCGCGCCTCCATCGAGAGCAATCGGATCAGTCCCTCTGCGACATCAACCTCAGTCTCAAGCTCGCCTGCCTCAACAATCAAGATCGAGAAACAGATCTCTCGACACAGCGACTTTGACGGCGCCTCCGTCTCATCCGCGGCAAAGAACAAGGCGGCTGAGAACCTGGTTTAATTATCATAAGAGTTCCTATCCTAGATTTTCCTCTGCACTTCACATATAATGGGTCTACCGGCGTTTCTGCACTCTGCTCTGATTTTAGATTTATGGTTTTCTTGCTTTTATCCAACTTTATTTTTACTCTGCTTCTGGTATGCAGGCTGATTATTTACTCTGCTTCTGGTATGCAGGCTGGGTCCGGATGTCTTTTCCTCATTTCTCTCTCATGTTATTATCTTCTTTTCTTTTCATTCTACGATGTGACGTTCGCATTCACGTGAGTTGTGGTTAATGGTGTTTTTTTTCTCTATATTTTTCTTCTTCAGATTGATGACAAGATAACGATATGATTGCTACGGGAGAGATGGAGTATACACACATACATATACACGTATGTGGATGATGTACATACGCGCGACTTTATTTACATACTCTTCTTCCACCCTTTCTTTCTTTTTTTCTTTTTTTGTTCTCACGATGATTAAAATGAGGAGGAAAGGGTTGTCTATGTACATACATTATTGGAGTCCTGCTCTACACTTGAACTTGTCTTTCTATCTTGTTCTCTGGTTGTATTGTATACTATTATAGACGGCGGAGAGAGAATAAAGATGTTATCAGATTGCGTTTTTTAGTAATTAAACAAAACAACAACAAAAACAAGCGTACACAGCCAAAATGAAACGAATGAAAAAAAAAAAACACCACTCAGAAATAGAAACAAGAGTTGACGAAAATAGAAACAAGAGTTGAGAATACACATCATTCATATCATGGCTTATCCCAACTAAGCCGTCTAGCAAGCCTCTGCAGGTTCTCATCCGAATCAGTATCATGGATAACCCTCTCCAGATTCTCTTTATCATGCAACTCCTTCTCGCGCTGGATCTCCTCGTTACTAGGCGGCATGCCCTCGTTCATCAAATCGAGCTTCTTTGCCTCATCAAACGACGACATCTTGTCCCGAATACCCTGCGACCCAAGCATCAGCGTGCCCGGCGGTAGCTTGCCGCCCGACGCCGTCTTAAGCTCCGACACCGCCTCCGACTCTTCGCGCAGGATCTGGAACATGCGCGACACGCGGCCGATCGCAATGATCTTTTGCTTGAGCGCTTTTCTTCTCGGGTCTTCTTCCTCGCCATCCTCGCCTTTCGTACCAGTTGTAGTCTGCACAGAAGCCGACGGCGCAACGGAATATGCTGCTGCGGCGATGTTGTCTTCCGACAGCGGCGTCTCGTCGTCGAGTTCCTCCTGAGTGCAGATATCGAGAATAGCAATCAGCATCTCGGTAATCTTAGATCCCACAAACGGCAGCGACCAAGTAAACACATCCATGAAGTTTGGCAGCCAGTACGGGTGCGGCGAGCAGTTGAACTGCCGAATGTTCATCACGTTGTTTTCGTACTTGAGCACCGCCGCCTTGTTGTGGTACGTATCTGTATAGTTTGGCGCCGAGAAAATCGTCATCAACGACGGGAACCCAGTAGTCTTGGTCTTGCGATACATGCGGTATCCCGCATCCTGCGCCTCGTGCGCTCGAATGACCGATAGCAAGTTGTTCTTCTCCAAAAACGCGCACGTGGCCGCGTACGAGAACGAGTACGAGCACCCTCGCGCACGGTTGACTTTGAAGTGCTCGTTCGTGCTCTCGCTTCCAAACTCCTCGAGCGGATCGGCCCAGAGAATGTCGCACATGAGCCCGTGCGTCGGCGGTTCGCGGAAGCGGTTGATGGCGCGGATGTCGTCCAGCGTTTGCAGGTCCGGCGAGAGACCGCCGTGGATGCACAGAAACTGCTGGTTCATCACGGCGCCGAGCGGCAGCGAGCAAAACGACTCGAGACAGGTCTCGTAGAAGTCGTCAGAGTACTTGTGCTTGCACTCGATCCGGAACGTGAAGAAATCTGTCAGATGCCGGCACTCGTGGTTGCCGCGCAGCAGCCAGAACGTGTTTGGATACCAGATCTTGAGCGACCACAAGTACAGCACGCACTCGGTCGAAAAACTACCGCGATCGACATAGTCGCCCAGAAATAGGTACCGCGTCGTCGCCGGATCGCCACCGACTTCAAACAGTTTCATGAGGTCAAAGTACTGGCCGTGTACATCGCCGCATACAATCAGCGGGGCGTCGAGCTCCAGAAGTGTCGGCTCCTGGTGCAAAATCTCGGTGCCTTTTTTGATAATGTATGTAGCCTGCTCCTCCGTCAACCGTCCTTCGCGGGCGAAATGCTGCTTCAGAAATTTGAGATTCGGCTTCGAGGGGTCCTCGGGATCAAAAACTTGCTCGTTCGTGGGCGTGAACGTCGCCGGAGCCTGTACATCTACACACAATGTCAACACCATGCTTTCGCCTAGTATTATCAATAGAAGAGCATCAATTGCGCATACCTTTCACGATTCGCTCGGTAGTAGACACAGAAGTGCCGTCCTCCATCGTGTACTGAGTGAGATCGATGGCCGGGACGGGGTTCTTCGTCTGGAACGCGCGGATCGCGTTTTCCAGCTTTTGCGCGTTTTCCTTCGCCTGCTTGTCTGATGATGTAGACATTGTGATTGAAAATGTACTGTTCTTTTCTGTGTGTTTTGTTGTTCGGCTGATTTCTGAATGTCGATGTGTATGAGACGAAAACACTGATGATGTCGCAAGACGCTACACCTCTACCAACAAAAGACCGGAGATGAAGACAGGACTAAAAGCAATTCTCTTTCTTCTCTTCGTATCACTGCTTAAGAATGAACAGCAAGAAGACAAACGAGAGAAAAGCGATAGGAGTTGGATATAAATTAGAGGCGCGTCAGGCGCTTGGCTTGCCGTTTGACCCTCAGCGAGGGGGCTCGTGGAGGCGGAGTGGATCTGAACCGGTTTCAATTAAAACTGAAACTGGAACCTGCGGCTGGTTGGATGCTGGTAGCCGACTTTTGCGGGCGCACTCAGCAGCCGAGATGCTGCTCCGCGATGCTTTCAGGAAAAGACAGCGACTGAACAGCAGCTGAGAGGTTTATTGAAGGATATCGTGAATAGCGGCTGCTGAAAGAAACGTAGACATGGACGGGCTAGGAACCCGGCAGTCGTCGCCGTGGCAGAGCAAGACCTTTGGGACTTCGCTCTCTCTTCATCTCGACCGTCCCGTGAATGCAATGTATGTTGGCTCATAGTTCTCTTTCGTTCGTATGCTAACCTTTTTATGCTGTAGGTCCATATCTCCTTCTGGAAGGGATGTTGTTCTTGCCTCGTACGTGACTCACTCTATCATACTACTTCTCTTTGTCGCTAACAGGTTGCAGCCGAGCCGGACTTTACATTGTCGACCTCGACGATCCATACCTACCTCCCCGCTTCATCCGACACACGACACCCTGGGAAGTAGCCGACGTGCAGTGGTCTCCTCACGCCGCGAAATCCAGCTGGGTGATCTCGACCTCCAACCAAAAAGCCATGGTCTGGAACCTCGCTCTTCCCTCGACGGCCGCGATCGAGCGTGTGCTGCATGCCCACACACGAGCCATAACCGATATCAACTTCCACTCATTCGACCCCGAGCTCCTAGCGACCTGTGCTGTTGATGCATTTGTGCATGTATGGGACATGCGTGCGCCCGCAAAGCCGATTCAGAGTTTCTGCGACTGGCGCGCGAGCGCAACACAAGTGAAATGGAACAGACAGAATCCGCACGTCGTTGCCTCGTCGCACGATCGCTTCGTGCGGATTTGGGACGACCGGTTTGGCGCACGGCCTTTGCGATCGATAAACGCGCACTCTACAAAGATCTACGGCGTGGATTTTAACCGGTTGAAGGAGACACAGCTTATTACATGCTCGCTCGACAAGACGGTAAAGTACTGGGACTACAGCAATCAGAAGGACGAGCCCGTGCGAGTGGTCAACACCGATTTCCCGGTCTGGAAAGCACGACACACGCCATTTGGAGACGGCTGCGTGATCATGCCCCAGCGCGGCGGCAAAAACGCAGTCTTCATAATCAGCAACAAACCTACGAACCCCCACAGCGGCGTTCCGGATCAAATGAACCCTGTCGAGGAACTAGTCGGCCACACTGAGCCCATCAAAGAATTTCTCTGGCGCACGCGCGGCGGCGAGACCGGGGTTGATAGCCGCGAATTCCAGCTGGTGACGTGGTCGAAAGATCGGGACTTGAGGTTATGGCAGATCAGCGACCGCGCGTTTGACGGAGTGGGACATGTCAAGAACCAGCCGCTGCGGTTCCGCATGACGAGACTGGGTACGCCGTATGTCAGTTTCAATCACGAGCCAGAGACGTTTGCGGTGCCGGAGGCGATGCCGGGGACACCGGGCACATCTGCTTCGTTGTCGCCCTTACAGATCCGACAGTCGTCATCGTCCGCAGCATCAGCAGCCGCGGCGCGCAGTGGATCTATCGCCCGCTCGCCATCACAGTCACATCACCACCACATTCACCATTACGGACATCGACCGTCGACATCGGCGCCGAAGTTCAATAATCCACAGAGCAGGTTTATGACCAGGGGAGGCAAGGGCCAGGACAAGATCTCGCATCTGAACTGGCTTTCCGGCGTACGAATCGGACGCGCCGCGTTTGCGAGGCCAGCGGATGAGGATGGCTCAGCGACTGCAGGAGTGTCTTCTAATGCGTCACTGGCAGACGGATCAGCCGGTATTGGAGATCAGGGCGCACCAGGTCAGGCGGTTGGAGCGGGAATGGGAGCCGGTAGCCCAGAGAATTTCGGCGAGGAGGTTAGTATAGTTGGGCACAAGTTTCCCAAGATTGTGTTTGAGAAGATTGAGGTTGCAAAGGGTGAAATCGTGGTGACGCTGAACGGACCGTGGGGGCCGGAGGGTGCGCTGGTGTTTATCCGATTACAAGCCTGGTTCCCGAGCGATTATCCAAAGAAGCAGGAGGAGGGCGAGGAGCAGGAGGCGGAGCAACCGAGGTTGGAAATCGAGCCTAACAAGGATATTGCGGAAGAAGACCTGAAAAGTTTAGAATCGCAAGTACAGGAGATTGCGACAAAGTTGTCGGGTCGAGGGATGTTTTGCCTGGAACCGTGTTTACGGTATATGATGGGAGAAAAGTCGGTGCTGGATGACCTAGACCGGATCGGCGGGGATTTGTTTGATGTGCCGGAGTTGCTTGCGAGGGATGATGACGATGAATCATCTTCTGACGACGAGATTGTCATGTCGCCTCCGAAGTAGATATGTACAGTAGATGTATTATGTATGTTAAATCAGGTCAAGATATCAAGTCGAGGATGTAGAGAAAAGATGCGCCGCACGTGGCTTACTTATGTGGCGCGTGGCGGTGCCAGAAAAAAATTTCGAACAAACTCCCAACTTTCTGAACTTTTCTCCCTTCTACTTTTGCAGCGACAAAGAAGCACAGCAACGATGGCGCCGACTACAAAAGCAGAGCTGAAGAAGAAGCGGAAGCATAATGAGTCGTTTAAGGAGAAGAATGGGATGAAGAAGACTAAGGAGGTGTCGAAGAAGAGAGTGGAGGTGGAGGAGGAGGAGGAGGATGATGATGTTGATGAAGAGGCGTTGTTGGCTGAAGTTGATGCTGATTTCGCCGGTCTTGAAGAGCAGGTGAAGAAGACGTCTGGCGGTCAAGATGATGAAGATAGTGATGAGGAGGATGATGATGAAGAAGACGAAGAAGAGACTGGAAAGATCGCGTCTGGGGACGAGAGCGAGGACGAGAAAGAGACTGAAGAGATTGGCCAGCGAGCACCACAGGCCGCGCTGACGACTTCGACGACGGCGACAAAGTTCTCAGAGCTGAATCTGTCGGAGCCAACGATGCGCGCTCTGGAAGGCGACATGAAGTTTTCTGCAATGACGCCGGTTCAGGCGCGTACAATCCCACCCTTACTTGCCGGTCGTGATGTGCTCGGCGCGGCCAAGACGGGATCGGGCAAGACGCTCGCGTTTTTGATTCCGGCGGTTGAGATGCTGCGGTCGCTCAAGTTCAAGCCGCGGAACGGAACCGGCGTGATTGTTGTCTCTCCAACGCGTGAGCTGGCGTTGCAAATTTTTGGGGTTGCGCGCGAGTTGATGGCGCATCATTCGCAGACGCTCGGGATCGTGATTGGCGGTGCGAACCGGCGCGCGGAGGCGGAGAAGTTGGAGAAGGGCGTGAATATGCTGATTGCGACGCCGGGAAGATTGCTGGATCATTTGCAAAACACAAAAGGGTTTGTGTTTCGGAATTGCAAGGCGCTTGTGATTGACGAGGCGGATCGGATTCTGGAGATTGGATTTGAAGACGAGATGAAGCAGATTGTGAAGATTTTGCCAAAGGAGGACCGGCAGAGCATGCTGTTTTCTGCGACGCAGACGACGAAGGTTGAGGATCTGGCGCGCATCTCGCTGCGGCCGGGACCGCTGTACATCAACGTCGACGAAGGACGGGAGGTGTCTACGGTGGCGGGCTTGGAGCAGGGGTACGTTGTGTGCGAGTCTGACCAGCGGTTCTTGCTGCTGTTTTCGTTTTTGAAGCGAAACATGAAGAAGAAGAAGATTATTGTGTTTTTAAGCTCGTGCAACTGCGTCAAGTACTTTGGCGAGCTACTCAACTATATTGACCTGCCGGTGCTGGATCTACACGGCAAGCAGAAGCAGCAGAAGCGGACAAACACTTTCTTTGAGTTTTGCAACGCCAAGCAGGGAATTTTGATCTGCACGGACGTGGCTGCGCGAGGACTCGATATCCCGGCGGTGGACTGGATCATCCAGTACGATCCGCCAGATGATCCGCGAGACTACATCCACCGGGTTGGACGTACAGCGCGGGGCACAGAAGGCAAGGGCAAGTCGCTGATGTTTTTACTTCCGTCCGAGCTTGGGTTTTTGCGGTACCTGAAGGCGGCGAAGGTGCCGCTGAACGAGTACGAGTTCCCGGCGAACAAGATTGCGAACGTGCAGGGCCAGCTCGAGAAGCTGGTGGCGGGCAACCACTGGCTGAACGAGAGCGCGAAGGAGGGATACCGCGCGTACGTGCAGGCCTATGCGAGCCACCACCTCAAGTCGGTGTACCAGGTCGACAAGCTGGACCTGGCGAAGATCGGCAAGGCGTTTGGCTTCCGCGTGCCGCCGCGGGTGAACATCTCTGTGGGTTCGGCGTCGATGAAGAGCAAGAGCACCAGCAAGAATGGCAACGGCAAGCACAGCGAGCACAAGCGGCGGAGGGTGGACTAGAGTGTAATAAGTTAGGTAATCAAGAATAGGTTTTGTCATGTGACCTTATGTGACCGAGTGTGATCTGTGAGTGAGTGTGAGTTGGGAGAAAAAGCAGTCACGCACGCAGAGCAACAACACACACGGCTGCCGAGCGCGGAGACGAGCAGAGATCCACCGCCGAGAGCAGAATAAGCAGAAAACTGGAATCGACGAGAAAAACAGAGCAAAAAACACGTAGAAAACAGGGAAATTCAGCGCAGAAAAGACCGGACTGGTTCGCGGAAGCTCGTGCGTGGCCGGCAGTGGGCGTGGAGGCTGCCTTCTCCCAAGGAGTTCCCAGATACTCCCATTTTAATCTGGGGATTAATACACTCCAAACATACACAGTCAGCACCCGCGCATCTTTCCCCAAAACACGACACTCCCTCCCCTTCTCCCTGCATCCACCGAGGCCGCCCTCCTCCTCCCCAGCTCCCTGCTTCCCGCTCCACCGTAAACATCCCGCAATCCTCCCTTCCCGCTCCTGCTCCTCCTCAGCGTTTGCTGCGCCGTCAGATGACAAGCTGCTGATCAGCCAGCCCATGTCATTCCACGAGTCTGTGGGCCTGCTCGCCATCTGCGACGCCATCGAAACCGTCGAGGCTGCCGCGTCCTCCTCGTCCACGTCCACGTCCTCGTCCTCGCCCTCGCCCCCGCCCCTCCTTCCGCCGCTCGTCGCCGCCCACAGCAAACAGCAGAAGCAGAAACAGAAGCAGAAACAGAGCCAGAAGCTGCTCTTCGGCCGCTACTTCCACCGTCCCGCCAAACACTCCCACTACGCCCTCAAGATGAGTTCCAACCAGGCGTCCACCGCCAACAACAACAACAACTCTGACTCCTCCTCATCATCATCATCATCTCCCTCGGCCGATGGTGCAGTCAACCCCGCCGCTGTCGATGCGCCGCCGGCTCATCTCTCGGTCGCCGATCTCGCCGGGATGGCCGCGCGCGAGCGTCTCCACGACAACTCCGCGATCGACCCCTCGTTCCTGCCCATCGACCCGGCCATCGCGCCAATGGCTCCTGCAGACTACACCGCGTCCGCCGCGGCCTACCCGTCGCTGCTCTCGACGCTCGCCGGCGAGTCCGCGTTCCATACGATCCGTCGCCAGCCCGTGCAGTCGCAGCCCAAGCGCCGTCCGCAGCACCAATCCCCGTACGATAACAGCATGGCCCACCAGCCGCAGCACACCCAACACCGACACCAACCACCACAACCTCAGCACACCTCACAACAACAACACCACCAACCACAACAACAACACCAACAGCAACAGACAAATCAATCAAGCATCCCGCCCGAGCACAGATCAGAAGAATGCCACATCTGCGGCCGGATCTTCCGCGGCGCAAAGAGCTCCACCCACAAGCAGCAGCACATCCGTCGCCTGCACCCTGACGACTACCAGCCCAAGCGAGGCGGCAAGAAGCGCGCCGCCGCCGCTGCTGCTGCTGCTGCTGCTATAGCCGCGACCGCGTCGTCGGGCATGACCTCACCCACTCCTGTCTCGAGCTCGAGTCACTCCGGGACGCCCTCCGGTTCTTCCGCGAGCGTCTCCCTGCCCGTCATGCACGACTACCGGTCTTTTGATAACAGCGCCAATGACGACTCGGACGAGAGCAGGCGCAGAGTCCGGCCAAAGACTGAAGTCGCTGTTCCTGTCGATCCGGCAATCATCGTCGCTGATATGGCCAGTGAGTCCACCGCCGCTCTGCAGCCTAGTGAGTCGAACGTCGCTGCTGCGCTTTCAGAGTTCAACAGCTCTCAGCAACCAAAGCAGGAAAACAACTGATTGCTCAAGAGCTGAAAAAAAGAGAAGAAAATGAAACGATGTATATTACAGAAAAATCTGCTGTCTGCTGTTATTGTTCAGAATAGAATAGATGTGAGGAGAGAGAGAAAAGCCTGATTTTAGTTGATTCAGAAAAAGTTGTTTTTATCTTCTTTCTTGTGTTGTTTCTTTCTTTTGTATTTCTTTGTTTGTGCTTTTACGTTTTGATCCACCAAAATATCCAAAAGCATGTTTTCTTTTGTTTGTTCTTTTATAGCTGCTTATGTTTGTCAATGTAAGTACGATAGTGGTTGCTGTAGTATTATTAGCTTGCGTGTTGTTCAATACCAGCCGTTTTTCGTTTCTTTTTCTTTTCTTTTGTTCATAAAATATGTGGGAGGAATGGTATATATGAGATCCTTGCGAGTCGTGTTTGATGAGACTATAGAGTTTTAAATATAAACATACGAAATGTCGTCGAAAACGATGACAGTATCAGCATATATCAGACCAACTGTTTTATTAGCTTACTCAGTTCCTGTTGCGCTCCATCCCCATATTTACGCCGTGTTACTTACGTTTGCGGTCAGAGCTGTCGATGCTGTTTTCGGTGTTTTTGTCAAGATTGATTCATAATTGAGGTCCCCTAGACTCACCAACAGAAACTACATCATTAATCTCTTCAAGGCTCTTATTCCTTTTAACTATTCTATAGAACAATGAAAAAGATCAAAACTGTTAGATCTCATCGTTCAGAATAGAATACACGTATGAGTACGGCGGAGTTATAGCTCGGACGCGAGAAAAGTTCAAACGTCAATTATAGGGTGCGTTCGCTGGGACCGACTGAATGCATTCTTTGCATCTTTACCAACAAATCCACAAAAGCTTCTTTCCAGCGCAGAATAGCAGGAAATGAGATTAGTAAAACGAACTTGACTATTCCTACATTTTTAGTGATTATTATTATTTGTAATTATAGCAGAAAGCAAGCATATTTTTGTTTAAAAACGGCGGCAGGGTTTGTAGGGTTTGTTGCAGCTTTACAGATAATAACGTCTCTAAATTATATTATAATAATATGGAGGGGCTCATAGAATCGCACAACGCCGATACCAAAGTACATCAACAAAGCAAAATACAAGAAATCAAAACACGGCTCAACCAGTGAGCTCATGGAAATTTAGAGGACCAGACCACTGCCTTAGCTGACGGCCGTATAGCTGCAAGGTGATGATGAGCAAAAAGACGGTACCGCAGATAGCAGCCTGAATGCCGAAGGAGAGCGCGGTGCCAGACTTTTGCGCCCACTCGATTTCAAAGTACGAGATGACGAAACCGCCGATGGTGCGGCCCATGTTGACTGTCGCGGCGAGTTCTCCCGAGGCTTCAGGGTAGGAGTCGAGCAGGTATGCGACAAGGACGACGGTGGAGATCATGACGCCGAAAACAAACATGCCCCAACCAACGGCAAGGACGGCCCAGTGCCAGAGGTTGTAGAGCGCAAAGCCGGCGATGATGAGACCCGGGATGATGAAGAGCTCGCCGACGTAGAGCGCGACGAGACGGGCCTCGGGTTCAAAGTGGCCGTTGTGCAGGCGGATGTAGCGTTTGGCGAGGAAGTCGTTGAAGAAATGGCCAAAGAGCTCACCGAGGACGGCGCCGATCATCGGAGTGAAGTAGAAGAGCGAGACGCCGGCGGTGGAGAAGCCGTAGCCTGCGGGAGGGGAAGGGGTGAGGAAGAGGGTGAGCGAGGTGTTGATGCCGATGACCCAGGCGAAGGTGCACATGTAAAAGAAAATCATGAAGATGACGGGGACGCGGGTCGTGACGCGCCAGAAGCGGATGCAGCCGTGCCAGAGAGAAGTGCGCTCGTGACGCGAAGGCCACTGCGCGGTGCCGATGAATCGGCCGATGCGGGTGCCGCGAGGGGGTTGCTTTTCCATGGGAATTGCGCGGTTGTAGTACGTCTCGTCGCCGACAAGGAGGATGAGGCCGAATGCGAGGCCGGTGACGATGGCGACCATGCCAAACACCCATTGCCAGGAGTTGACGTTGACGATGAAACCACCGGCGAAGGGGCCGAGATAAGGCGAGAGGATGTAGAAGCCAGACCAGATGTTGATCTTTCGCGCGTGCTCGTGGAAGAAAAAGAGATCTTTGATAAACATTAAGCCGCCTCCCTGGGTGACGGTCGAGAAGAAGCCGTTGAGGACGCGACCGGCCATGAAGTGGTTGAAAGTGGGCGCAAAGGTGAGGTAGATTGAAGTCCAGACGGCAAAGACCATGAACCAAAAAACAACGGGAAGACGTCCAAAGTATCCAGAGAGAACGATGGCAAAGTATCCACCGATTCCGAGCATCATGACGTTTCCAGACTGCGAGTGGTTGACGGTGTTGGGGTCCATGTTCCACTCCTCGCCCTGGGCGTTGAGGACGACGGCGCCAGCGGCGGAGCCAAAGTCGGGCAGGAAAGCAATGAAAGAGATGGAGATGAGGATGAGATGCTTTTTCCACCAGGACCAGTTGAGCGGGTCGTTGGGGTCATCGGACGGCTGCGGGATAAGCACAGTGTGACCGTCTCTGGCGAGCTTGAGGTTCGACTGGCCCTCGTCGTGGGTGAGAAGGCCAGCGTCGAGGATGTATCCCTCGGCGCCCTCGTGCTCGATATCTGGAGGGACATCAGAGTGAGGTGCGTCGATGTGGTCGAGCGAGATCTTGCTGCCGTTATACTGTTCTGTCCGCATATTGTTATGAAGATGGTGATGAGCTGGGCCAGGGCAGAAGCCGTGCCTGGCGGACGCTGTCAATTTAAAGCAGGCGAGCTCCGGCGGAGGTTTCCCCCACTACTACGCTTCACGCTCAGGAGTATGCCCCGCACTATGGCGCGAGGACCCCACATAGGAGAAACCGGAAGGCGTTGCAAGGGAGGAGGATCACGGTGCCACGGATCTACCGCTTGCGCTTGTCACTGCGGCTCACCCCCGCATGATGACATAAGGAGGTAACGTTTGTATGACATTGCATAATGCTTTGTGAGGAGCTACACGACCGCGCTGCGGCAGACAGAGATGGAGATGAGAGATTATTATAATAGCTCAAATATTATATCTAAAGAGATCTCAGGGACTTGTCTTGTCTTGACTTGACTTTGCTGGGTTGCTGACCGAGAGGACGAGTAAAGTCAAGACGGAACAAGCGGGATATACAGGCTTGGAGAAGCGGCATGCTTGGCTTAACGCCTAAATAGTGATTGGCTAGACGCCGAAATGGTAAGCACAACGGCACGAGCAAGAGCAAGAGTAAGAACAAGGACGCGAGAATACGGCAGCGGGACAGAGGACGGCAGATGAGCCTAATCCTTAAATCTGCTCAGTTCTCTGCCATTTTTATCTTATCTTCACTCTTATTCTGACAGAATAATAATATTCGCTGTTCTTATTTTCGGTGAAGCAGGCGGCGAGGAGGAGCAAATAATTAAGTCAAAGAAACCCTACGGTTCCGTCATCGTCAAACAATTAACAATTAACGAGCGGGGTGAACTCCGCTTTTGCTGTCGATGTGGATATTCCCCGAAATGTGCTCAGATTATTCATGATTAGTTGATGATTGGTGTTGTTGCTGTTGTTACTGTTTACTGTTGCTCACTATTATTCACTATTGTTAACTATTATTCGCTATCTTTACTGATCTCCTCACTGAAGACCACTAAACAACAAAGAGCGCACTCGGCACAACGCACGTGCATCAGCGATGGCGTCGAATAAGATTCACACAGACCACCGCTAATTCCCACCTTTGTGTTACTAAGCCATCACTACTCCAGCTACTAAGCATCCCGCAGCCATCAATAGTCAGAAACCTCCTCCATTCCACATTAACTACTCGAAATAATATCCTCCACCTGATATCCTCATCGTCTTCATCTTCACCAATATCGTATCCTGTCTCAGTCGCAGACAGAGTCGCACCTCGCCGTACCTTCATCTCCTCACCTCCTCATCTCCTCACTCGACTCTTCATCTCCTCCCCTCTCCTCTCAGACTCCTCAGCATAGTCTATCACACATACTCAACACCGGATCAGATGCCATGCCTACAACAGACATACTCAGGAACAGCCCAGCGACACAGACAGCATAAACGTAATGACTAAATGATGACTAACTATATGACGTAGGGCAGGGCCCCAAACAGTTAGCTCCTCCCGCACTCCGCAACTTCACGGGCTCGGCACCTCCTTTCATCTGATGTTCTCGCCAACCCAAGACTCACCCACTCACTCACTCATACTCATACCACCAAACTTCTTCTTTCTGTTATGTACTATTTTCTTCTGCTGTTCTGTGCTTCTTGCTGCTCTACTGTGTCTATCTAAACGCGTCGAACACTCTGAACTTGTGCCATGTGGCATGTGATGCACGCTCACACCGCCTATCATCTGTCATCTCGGCACCCGCACATGCTCTTCTTCTATCCTCTCCTATACAGCTCTATCAATATAGCACTCTTTATTACTTTTATTTCGTTCTTTCGGTCATGTCGACGTAGATCGAGCGCGGCTAGCCGTTCCAGATCCTGCCGCGCCCGCCAAATCCAATCTCGGGATACCACCATCCACGTCCTCTCCACGCCTGTTCCTGAACTTCTCCACTTGTTTTATTTCTCTCATTCTGTCGCTCACTCCTTTATAATTTCCTATTCTGGCCCGGTACTTTCACGAGGCATGCCGTGTGTCGCTCGACCAGAATCCAACTCGACTTGTTTTGCCTGACGACTCACCCCTCAGCTCAGAGTATATATTTGCCCCGGGTCTCCTTCTCCTGCACTGTTCTCTGCCTTGTTCACCACCGCCTTGTTACACTCTTTCCACCCGTACACTTGCTATCCATCACCATGAAGTTCTCCTTGCTCTTCGCCACCCTCGTTGGCATCCTCGTCAGCTCCTTCGCCGTCGCAACCGATCCCCCTTACTGCACCGGTCTCTGCGTCTTTGGCTCTCTCGACGACTCGGGATGCGACCCCATCTCTCTCGAGTGTCTTTGCACAAGGTATTTACCATCTACCATCCTTCATTTCCTCATTCTCTCGCTATAGCAAAGACTAATTCCTCCCAGCATCCCCTTTGCAAAGTCCCTCATCGGCTGCGTGTTGGAGTCGTGCACCTGGAGGGAGTACATTCCCTCAATCAAGTACTTGAAGGAAACCTGTGGTGACACCTGGACCAGCGAGATCACCGATATCATTGACGATATATTCTAAGCCTAGCTCATGCTACCTACTTCATTGTTACGCACTTGCTTTTGCAAGTGTCGAGATTCTCAATCTTCTCAATAAATTCATTTAAAACCAGTTGAATGTCTACGTCGAACTATTATGACCTCATACATCTAAACTCTCATCATTCCCAACGTGCGGGGAACAGATGAATCGTTCCCATTATAGAACTATCATAGAACTATCAAACTCTCGACACAAGTCATGCCCTATCCCATACGTTTGACCCAGAGTCATCTTATGACTACCACTATATTACTACTGATTGATTACTACTAACACAAACTATGACATCCGCTTCTCAAACTCCTCACTAGAGTACTGATACGCCTCCACATCCTCATCCCTAGCCACCGCCTCGTCCGCATAAATCCCCTGCTCAACATACGTCTCCTCCGCCGGGAAAAACTTGCAAAGCACAAAATACACCAACCCGCCCACCCCCGTCCCGAACCAGAACCCGAGCTTGTACAAATGTCCTATCCCCTGATTCGCCTGCGTTGACCCGCTAATCGTCGGGATGAATCCCGGGAGCAGCGGTACCCAACCGCACGTGAAGGCCGCAAACGCGCGCCAATTGCAGCCATAGCGGTATGCGTACCGGCCCTTGAAATCATAGAGACCCGGCACATCATACTGCTGCTTGTGCACGAAAAAGTAATCCGAGACAAGGATGCCAAAGATCGGACCGAGCCAGATCGAGTAGCCAGACATGAAGTTCAAAAACCCACTCGCAGAGGTCAAGATGTTCCACGGCGTCAGTGCCCACGATCCCAGAACCGCTGCAATGAACTGTCCGCGGCGGATGTTGATGTACCGCGGGAAAATGCAGTTGAGATCGTTTGCGGCCGCGAGCGAGTTCGCGGCGATATTAAGACCGACTTGTGATAGATAAAACGAGAACGCACAAAAGAAAGCAGCAGCACGGCCTCCAGACGAGGTCCAGTTATTGATAATCAATAGAGGATCCCAGAGAATAGTGCCATAGAGCAGCTTTGATCCAGCGGCAAACACGACACCAATAAACGTCACGATCGTCGAAGTGAACGGCACCGCAAACGTGGTGATGTACGTGCTCGAGATCTTCTTTGCATACCGCGAGTAATCCGGCGCGTTCACCATCAGCGTAGTGCCACTGCCGACATTGGAATTGAAGCACGCGACAAAAGTCCACGCAAGAGTACTCCCGTGCACCGTATTACCATCCTTAAACATATCACCTAGTCCGACAGAGTTGATCATCCATCCCATGATTGCAAACGCACAGATCGGCGTCGTGATCGCCTTCACCAAAAACAGCCACTTCAGTCTCTGTACTCCCACGTAATGGAACGGGAGACAGGTAATAAAGTAAATCACGTACGCCGTCATGAACTGCGTCGTGATGTTTGCAGACTCGGGAAGCGTATTCTTCACGTTGCGGAACGAAGGCCACAGCGCGTAGAGCATCGACTGCACGCACTCCGCGCCCGTGTAGATCTGGATTCCGTACCAGAAAATACCAACGATGCAGCGCATCAGAATCATCAGGTATGAAAGATAATACCCGTACGCAGCACGGCTCTGGATCGAGAACGGGATATGATATTTTGCTCCCACGATTCCGTTCAAGGTGATGAAGAACCCGCCCACGAGGTTGGCGAGTGCGATGTTGACTAGCGCAAGACGCCATGATAAACCGACTTCCATCACGGATGCCGCAGAGCGGAAACCAGAGACAGATAGATGGTCAGAGATCCAAAACAGCGCATAGTGTCGCATATTCCAGTTCTGCTCCTCGGGTGGGACAGGATCAAGGTCTACTCTGATCAGCTACATACTCATCACAAAAACAGCAAGACAGCAACATACCATGATTGGAGTGGACGCCCTCAGTCTTTGAATCGAGAGCGCAAAACCTGTCGACTTTCTGCCAGAACGTGAGCGGCCTGTCGACCTCACCAGTATCAACATCAAGCGCAGACACTCGAACTTCGTATTGCTCTTTATCCATAATCACGATAGTCCGCACGATTGATATACGCAATCTGACAGCAGCTGCGCAGGAGGGCACCGCTGCTCTTATAAGCCGCCATCAGCCATATTTTGTATGGAAAGCACCAAGGAATGAGACTGATAAACCTATTCTGGGCAGTCTAAGGCTCTTGGCGCAATACGGGTGCAAGACTGATAAGCAGGCTGTTGTCACCCTGCACCAGATCAGCTGTGCTCTGATAGAAAGAGGTGTTCTTATACACAGAGAAGAAAAGAACAGAAGACATCAAGAATCATGTCAACAGAAACCACCTCGAATCAGAGAATCCAGACAATCGATAACCGTAACTCATCTTCACGACTGATAAACAACTGATAAACTCAAACACTTCTCCGCAGCATCAAAATGAAATGTCTAAATCGCCGGCTGCCAGCTTTGAGTTTGGCTTATCGCGAGGAGACCACGATTGCGCCGCAGCAACAGACCGATAAGACAATTGATAAGTCCATTCTGTGCAGCACTTGTTCATCTAAAGAGAATAAGAGCAGCTTATAAAAATGCTAGAGTGGAGATCTACGTGCATCAGATGGTCTGTGTCTGAGCTCAGCATGGTCCGCGCAGCTTTGTGTAGAGGCCCTCATCCGGGCCCACAAGCCAAGTGGCGGCGGTCCCACCCTCCTTCCTCGTTTATCTCAGCTATTGTCTGTGCCGAGATAAAGAAACGAGTTGCTGACTCTGACTTCGAGTCCTGTCTAGTCCTTATTACCTGCACGTAAATATATTTTGTTTTGGTCCCATAGATTTATGATGTAAATACACAAACCCTACACGAATGATAGGCAGTGGTATATGCTTACAGAAGTTATGATTCAGCAGAAATGACTTGGATCGATATCCTCCCCACAATATCTCGTCGTTAATGATTTGGGGGTGCTTATTATAGAAAGTAGCATACATTATCAAGTACGAGCAATAAACAGGTTCAAACAACAGAACGAGCTAACTACACCTTCCCCATATTCCCCATCGCCGCACCCGCCTCAACCTCAAACTCCTCACTCATAATCCCATCCGGAAACACAGACTCGGTAGCCCACACTCCCTGCTCGATATACGTCTCCTCCTGCGGGAAAAACCTGCACAGCACATAGTACGACAACATCGCGCTGCCCGTGCCGTAGAAATATCCGACCTCGTACAGATGCGAGATGCCTTCCGAGGTCACGCTGCCGCCCTGGATAACGGGGATGAAGCCAGGGAGAAGCGGGACCCAGCCGATAAAGAACGCAAGGAAGGCGCGCCAGTTGAAACCGTTCATGTAGCGGTATCGACCGTTGAAGTTGTATAGCTCGGGAATGTCGTACTTTCGATTATGCACAAAGTAGTAGTCTGAGAGCAGGATTCCAAGTAGCGGGCCAAGCCAGATCGAGTAGCCACCCATGAAATTCAAGAACCCACTCGCAGAGGTCAAAATGTTCCATGGAGTAAGCGCCCAAGAACCCAGCAACGCGGCAATAAACTGACCGCGCCGGATATTGATATACCGCGGGAAAATACAGTTGAGATCGTTTGCGGCCGCAAGCGAGTTGGCAGCAATATTCAAACCGACCTGGGAGAAGTAAAAACTAAGAGCACAAAAGAAAGCTGCCGCGCGGCCACCGGAAGACGTCCACTTGTTGATGACCTCAAGCGGATCCCAAAGAATCTCGCCGTAGAGAATCTTGGATCCGGCGGCGACGATGACACCGATGACGGTGATCACGGTGGCTGTGAACGGAACGGCAAACATCGTGATGAAAGTATCTGACTTTTTGCGAGCATAGCGCGAGTAGTCGGGAGCGTTGACCATCAGGGTCGTGCCACTGCCAATGTTGGAGTTCAAGCTGGAAACAAATGTCCAGGCCAGAGCAGAGCCCTTGACAGTGTTTCCCTCAGTGAACAAAGACGTCTGGCCGACTCCAACCTGGTGCACCATCCAGCCCATGATTGCAAACGCGCAGATCGGAGTGGTAATTGATTTCAGCATGAAAAGCCATTTCACTCGGTGAACTCCGACGTAGTGGAACGGAAGACATGTCAGGAAGTAAATCACGTACGCGGTCATCAGCTGGGTCGTGATATTTGCCGATTCGGGAAGCCGGTTCTTCACGTTCCGGAATGATGGCCAGAGAGCGTATAACATTGACTGGACGCACTCGGCTCCGGTATAGCACTGCACACCGTACCAGAAAATTCCGACGATACAGCGCATGAGGATCATGAGGTATGACAGATAGTAGCCATACGATGCTCGGCTCTGGATCGAGAAAGGGATATGGTATTTTGCTCCGACCATACCGTTGATGGTTACCACTACACCCTGCACGATGTTTGCCAAAGCAATGCAGAGAAGGGCAAGCTTCCAAGACAGACCTTCTTCCATGACCGACGCGGCATTTCTGAAGCCAGAGACTGAAAGATTATCAGAGATCCAAAACAAGGCATCTATGATCGTTAGCATCCGCCAGAAAAAAAAATAACGCAGGCTTCAACTTACAGTCCTTCATATTCCAGTGCTGCTCAGCAACAGGGACCGGATCAAGATCATGGTTACTGTAGACACCCTCGGTGGCCGAATCCAGCAGCAGGAAATTGTTCACTTTTCCCCAAAACCCCAGCGGCTTTTGAGCAACAAGCTCTGCGCTTCCACTGTCATAGTCCAAGGCAGTAGTTTCTACCTTGTGCTGCTCTTTGACTTCATCCATGGCTGCAGTTGAAGATGGGACAGAACAGACGGGGTATCAAGAGGGTATTAGACAGGCTGACGGGTAGGCGTCCGTCTTTATATCTCTGACATATCCATCGCTTATAAATTCCGCTCAAACTATTATCAGAACATTGACAGTTGGAAGGAGCTGATACGGGAAAGGAGTCAGCTAGTCCTTATCAGTTGCGCAGACGGTGATCACACCCGCATGATTTCTGGTATGAGTTCAAACATATGTCTCAAAAAGTATCGCCGCTGCGGACTAGACTCTTCTCGCTGTCTGCATCAGTGTGCAGCCGCAATACTGCTAACTCCGCAACGATGAAGTGGAGATGACAGATTCGGTTAGAGGACGAAGATGACGGGTAGCGACCCGGCGGGCCTGGTGCTGTCCGGCCGACTGTACACGTCAGCTGTTGTGAAGTAGCAGACTTGTGAGCGATATTCGATATCCGATAAGAAAACCGGCCTCCTCAGAGTACTTTGAACAAGGATTGGTATCAAAACAAGCTCATGGTGATGACTATCATTAATGCTTGTTTTCCTTTTAAATTCCGAGAGTTGCTTTTTCTGTCCCTGGCAAAAGTGCGCCGCAACTCAATTCGCTCGTCCGGTCGCTTTGATATCCAAAATCCGCCCTGCGGAATACCGCAACGCCTCTTATCTCTCGCAGATCGCCGACAATTGCGCTCAGACTAAAGTGACTAACACGGATTCATTCAGACTTGGGCTGCAGCCCGCAGATCATCTGCCGTACGCCTGCTCCTGCCCAGAAATGCGTACTCGGTCTACTACTTGATTGGGAAAAGTCATAAGGAATAACACGTAGCCGAATACTATTATGAAATCTACTAATTATAACGAAATAGTGGAACTGATTCAGCACTCTGCCCTATTTCCAGCAGTGAATATTCATCACCTACCTGCCGAGCTCTAATCGACAGTCAGCACCGCCAGGTGTGCTTTGGAAACTGACTCAAGAGAAACGAGACACGGCTCGCCAGTCAGACCTTCGTTATATAGGTAAACCAAAGTCTCCGGGAGACAATAAGACTCGACAAGTTGTCCAAACAGCGAGAAGAGCCTTCATAATACTGCTCTTTCTCAGAAGGTGCAATGCCGGGATCAAAGTCTCCTCAGTTCTCGTCTAGTCCATCTTTTTGATCCGTTTCCCGCACATGTACAGCAACAATTCAGCTATATAGTCATCACCTTGTAGTCTATCGGCTACATTCAGTCGTCTGCCAACGCTCCGCAGCATCGGAGAGCAATCTGTCGTGCTGCCTTCGATGTAGTGATCCTTAGTAGAGATGAGTTTGGGACATCGTAAAATCTAAACTCTAATTCTTTTCGTCTCTCACCACACTTCTTCATCTCACAGTTAGCTGGAGACAATACCAGTCTTCTCCATCTCATCCACTTTTATATTTATCTGTATCGCTCTACTAGACAGATACAAGATTCGATTTGATAAACTAATAAGCACAACTCAAATCTACGGGCGGAGAAGCAACACACACAATGACGGACGTTGCTACAGCACCACCACCCTCCACAAACGGTGTGCACGAAAACAAAAAACGAAAGCTTTCAAAAAACCAACAGAAGCGTCTTCGCGCAAAAGGAAAGAAGCAACAAGGGTCCCGAGAAGTCTCTGCTTCCGCGACAGAATCCGCCTCCGAGGCTGAAAGTGTATGATCACCGTTTTTTTGTTTACCTTGAGAACACATTTAGTCAGAAAGAGGTAGCTAATACAGGAGCATCCGTTTGATCTAGATTTCGCAGTATGATGAGGTTAAAGAAGAAACTGGTTCAAGAGACCTCGATATGCAGGATATCGCGCCTGTCGAGATTGAGCTCGACGATCCCGCATTCTCTGCCTACAAAGACATTTTTCAGAAATTCAAAACCGAAGACGTATGTTCTATGCTTTTATGACACAAGTCCTATTTCACTCTGATGCTAACTCTCGTTAGGAGGATGATGTGCAAGTTGCAGATTCAAAAGGAGACATATACTATAGTGACGATGACGAACAAGACGAGGAACAGGAGGCAGCAGCAATGGAGCAGGTCATGAGCAAAAAGAAGCTTCGGAAACTTCACAAAATCTCGATCGCTCAACTCAAGGCTCTATCTCCTCGGCCGGACATTGTTGAAGTGAGTTGACCAAGCATCTTCAGTTTCAAAGCAGAAATGACTGACATCCTTTGTAGTGGTTTGATTCTGATGCGGTAGATCCATTATTACTAGTACGGATAAAAGCGGCCAAAAACGTGGTCCCTGTTCCCGCTCACTGGAGTGTGAAGCGAGAATACCTCTCATCGAAACGCGGTGTCGAAAAACCTCCATTTGAGCTTCCGGATTTCATCAAACACACCGGTATCATGGACATGCGCGACAACACAAAAGAAGACGACTCAAACCTGCGACAGCGCATGCGCGAGCGTGTACAGCCGAAAATGGGCCGTCTGGATATCGATTACCAGAAGCTCCACGACGCGTTCTTCAAGTTCCAGACAAAGCCGAAACTCACAACATATGGAGAAGTCTACTACGAAGGCAAAGAATTTGAGGCGAATCCGATCGATCGGCGTCCGGGTGTACTCTCTGACGAACTCAAGCAGGCCCTGAGTATCCCGCCTGGCGCTCCACCACCTTGGCTACTCAACATGCAACGCGTCGGGCCACCGCCAAGTTATCCGGGTCTCAAGATTCCTGGTTTGAACGCGCCGATTCCAGCTGGTGCGCAGTGGGGTTTCCATCCAGGTGGATACGGAAAGCCGCCTGTTGACGAAGCTACGAACAGACCTCTTTATGGTGATGTGTTTGGAGTGGTTGAGCAGCAGGGTAATGATGAAAATGAGCAGGAAAACATTGACCGGTCAGTATGGGGAGAACTACAGCCTGACGAGGAGGGAGAGGAAGAGGAGGAGGAGGAGGAGCCTGAAGAGGAGGAGCGAACTGTTGGAATTGACGAGCTGGAACAATACGAGTAGTCGCTAGCAAGAAATGTACTATTATTGATTAAAACAATCCGAACGCCAAGCAAAGAATTATATATCCCATAAGTCTTACAACTCAACTTTTAACCATCAGCTCAGAAAAACTTCAACTCATCAGCGTCACTGCACTTTGTATACTCAGAGCGACTCGTAGACTTTTTTGTTTGAGTAGCTGCTCTTCCGCCGTCATCTTCTGATTCCAGATCATCGTCATACATCATAAAGTCAGACGTCGCTTGATCATGCGGTTCCGTCACATCATCCTCATCGTCATAAATCTGAAGACTTGGGCCATCATCATACTCGTAGTCGTCTCCACTATCACTCAATTCCTCGAAAAAGCGGACACTGTGGATTTCCTTACCAAGACTATCGTCTTCGTCGATGCCGCTATCGCTTTCTGCTTTTCGACTGATGACCTTCCCCAAATCAACAACTTCATACTTCTCTTTCTTAGCGGTCATCGCCACACCCTTCTTCCTCGGTCTGAAAATCTTCTGATCCTGCCTCAAAAGAACCCAGATCTTTGCAAAAATCGCAATCAACGTCATGGCGAGAGGGATATACTGCTTCAGCGCAATCAGTCTCATCAACGCGTTGCGGGCCTTGGGGATTATTTTGTAGACCAGGTATTCGGCACATTCAATATGATTGAATTCTGGGTGGTCGAAATCTGGTATTGCTTGAGAGCGGTAGATTTCTTCGAGACCTGAGGTCGTAGAGGCTTTGAGTCCCTCGTGTTTCTTTGATCTGGCTTTCTTCCTCACTTCCTCACGCTTAGTATCGCGATCTTGCGCTCGCGTCTCTTTCTCCGACTCTTCCTTCACCAGCGTGAGTTCGGAGAGTTGAAGGTGGGCGAATTTTGGCGGTTCGTAATCTTGAGAGTGATTGATTTCTTCAGGACTTGAGGTTTGAGGAGCTGTCTTCGATCCATTCTTCTTCTTCCCAGATCCACGCTTCTCTGCAGCATCCATCGTCTTTGTCTGTGTCTGCGTCTGTTTACTTGCCCTCCTTCTCCTGCGTCGCCTTTTCACAAACTCAGCCTTCGACAGATCTTGTTTGACAGAAATGAGTTTCCGCACATTACGATGCACGATCGCGACGTATTTCCACCATTTCGCCTGCCGATGCTGGTTCTTGTTCCGATGCACAATCAGATGCAAGAGTTTGTACTCTTTCGTTAATGCTGGGATGTCGAGGTTTATAGGCATCTTTCGTTCATGTTGCTTAATCTGAGAGGTGTAGCGGGACGATTATCTGATTCAGTCCAGTCCGTTTTGATTTGGGAGTTCTGGAGGAGTAAAAAAACAAATCTCAAAACTTTCATCCAGAGCGCCAGAGTTCCTCTCCAGCCCCTCAAACAAGTCAAATTTTCTTCTTTTCAATGTAAAAAAAATTGATATAATCAGAAGGAATAAAACAGAAGATCAAATCTATGAGATAAAAAAAATCAGTATCCGAGAAGAACTTATGTTCTCCGAAACGGGGAATTGAACCCCGATTTGCCCGGTGAGAGCGGACCGTGCTAGCCATTACACTATTTCGGATTCGAAAAAAAAAATTATTGTGGCCTTTTTAAGCTGCTCTCACGTGATCAAATATATCACGTGACTTAGGCGAAAGCTGGACGATTTGCCTAGTCTGGTTTCTGATTTTGTTTGATTAAACCAATGTATGCTACTAATGATGCTTATTGGCGATAGTGAGGGTAAAACCGCGGGATAGGCTATGAAGGAGCGAATAAAGTTAGTTACGTGGAAGAAGGACTGAGGAAGTTGTTGAGAATTGCCGGTCGTTATTGTTCGGTCGTTATTGTTCGGTCATTGTTAGACTGACGACAAGATGAAGATAAAAGCCCGTCATGTCGCTGTTTCTACTTGATCTGTTGTCTATAGATCAGCATCCTCTAGACTGAAATTCAACAAGATGGTTGATATCCTCCCCTTTTCGCGTCCTACCCACAAGTCAAAGAGAGAGCAACCGGGCTTCTCGATGCACGGCCGTCGTTCGGCCCCTCCTCCACCTCCCCCGCGCAAATCGTCGGGAAAGAAATTCACCGTCTCCCCGGAAGGGAGGCCGCGCCGCGCGAAGGCCGTTCAGCTTTCTCACTGGTCCGTGGGCTCGAGCTCTTTGAGCAACTCCGACGATTCGCTGGATCTCCTGCGACGATTGCAGGACACGGCGCCGACCAGCTTGAATGTGTCTTCAGATGAGGCTACAGAGGAAGAAAAGTCCAGTCCCAGTCCTTACGAGAGCGATGTCGGCTTTCACTCGGAGGTCTCTGACGACACCGCTAGTATCCTGAGCGATCCGTTTTCCGACTCCAAAGCTTATGAGGACGACGAGGACGAGAAGCGCAGCGAGAGTCCTACCCGCGATATTCTTCCGCCTTGGTACTTCAAGACAGAGACATGGTCGCGCATTTCGCTCAGCTCGTCGACGGACACGGTCGAGCCTGCTCTCTGGCATTTGAAGGAAGAAGAGGCGTCGGCGGAACGCGAGCGCACGTCTATCGAGCTCAAAGTTCGCAAGTTTTCGCTGTACGCCTGGGAGCGCGTGCGAGCGATCTACAACAAGCTTCTGACGAGGGCGTTTAAGCTCTGAATGTCGACAATAGAAGCCTCTGGATAGGCGGACCAGACCGTTTTTTCGGCATCGTGCCATGGGGATCTCGTTTACTGTCTCTCTTGTTTAAGGTGTTTAGGTTGCTGCGTGGCGTCTTTGTACTTATTTTCTTTCTGGTGACTTGTTTCGTCTTTAATGTTTGGGATTCATGCAATGATTAATCTCGGATAGGTATCTGTATAATAAATACTGTTTCATTTGACCTCTTTCAATAAATAAAGGATTAAACAGACCCACAAGACAATGCAAAAAATTACTCAGCGAGGGCTTTGTCCGCACCCGCCTTTTATCTTGTCTTGGCTTTGGGTCCCGAACGAGGCCGGAGAAGGCCCCACAAGATCCGACAGTCCCCGCAAGAGAGCAGCCGATTGGACGGAATGCCCACGATCATGAAGACTCTCTTGGGCACTCGAGATACCACATCTGAACCTCTACGAGTAAGAAGTAATAAGACGGCCCAAAGCAGAAACAAGTACACGAGAAACACAAAAGTGACATCCGATGACTGCGCCGCAGCCGTCATCTAATCTGGCAGGTCGAAACCAAACCCTCGTCGAGTCAACGAGACGGCCAAAATCCCGGGGCTCAACCTGTCAAAGATAACTCTGCGCTGGGCTCACCGCAGCCCGCCGCCGGGTGCAGAGCAGCAGGACCGGCGCCTGCGTATGCTGCATTAGATCCTCTTCATAAGTCACTCCATGCCACTTCATATCACCGCATCTGCTGCACACCTCACGCACCATACGAACCAGCGCAGTCACCGTCGGGCGGCGTTGCGACGGGGGGCTTGGATTTAAGGCAGAACCTTAAACCGACTGTAAAGTAAAGGAACGGCGCTGCTCAGTCCCTAGTTTGTTCAAGCCTGAAAGCACCTCCGCCATCCGAGCTTTCTTTATGTCGGCTCTCTCGATTCCCTCCTATCACATACTTGAAACAGTCCTCCTCCCCCTCGGAATCCCTGCACATACAATGGATCTTTATCCGTGACTCTGTCGGATATACACCACTGCTCTACGTTATCAACCTTTCGAAATCACCGCAATAATGACTACTCTCTGAGGGACATGCAACCTTCCTGAACTTTCCCATTCTTCTATCTGAGCAGTACATATAACAAGCCGGCCACCAGACCATCTCTCAATGCCGGAGCAGGCACATTCACCCCCTGCCCAAGGATGGACAGAGGCCAGACATTCATCCTCATCCTCGACTTCGTCGTCTCTCAAGCGTCGGCAAGAGGACGGCGGATCTCCGGAAGGCTCGCAGAGTGCGCTCAACGACCTATCGCGAGGCGGATTTCCGATCTACAACAAAAAGCGGAAGAATACTACGCGTGCGTGCGATGCGTGTAAAAAGAGGAAAGTGAAATGCGACGGAATGCAGGTGCGTTATCCCAATACCAATTGAGAAGTTTTGTATTATTACCGTTTACTAACTACTACTCTCTTCGAATCAGCCATGTGAACGATGCGTTAAAGGTGGAGGCGACTGTACCTATAACGTGAAGTACACCAGAGGTGTCTTTGTCGCCCCTCTACGGAACGAAAACCTCCAGCACGAATTGTCCTCTCCCGCGCAGTCGTCGCAACTCGCGCGTTTGATGGACGCCGTTGCCGCAGTATCCAAAACCGAGATTCCTGCTATGCTAGCCGATATAAGCAAGCTCGATAAAGCATTGAACAATGACAATGACGCTCAGCTCTCGCCTTCTTCGGCCCGAGTTTCAGATGCACAGCCGGCAGATCAGGAAGACGAAGGCGAGTCGTTCTTAGGCGGATCTTCTAATCTCGTGTACTCCCATTCAGCGAAGGCTCATCTACTGGACGAGGTCCAAGTACCTGCCTCACCCAGAAACGTACCGGAGCAGAGTCAGCACCGACCATTGATCAGCTCCTCATCCCTAAGGTTCTCGCCATCCTCCCGCGACCATTTCTGGTTCGCAGAGAGGCCAGTCGAGGAGGTAGATGCGAGACTTCTGGCTCTACCATCGCGAAAGCTTGCACTACAGCTAGTTGAGTGGTATTTCGACAACTCGAGCCCAACATATCGCATTCTTCATCGGCCGACTGTCGAGCATTGGATCGACTGTGGATTCTACTCCACGCAGTCCGAGTTTGATCCAGTAAGCGCCGTCACCACTGAGCCCGTACCTACCACTCGACGTTGCGAGTGTGACGCACACCACCCCAATCCATTCGAAGACCGAAGCATTTGCGCTCTCATGTTTAGCGTCTGGGCTATGGGCAGTCGGTTCCCGGTCGGGATCAAGCCCGGTTCGAAAGAGGGCACGCTTCTGCAAAGACGAGGCGAGCAGTACTTCTCGATCGCAGAGAAAGAGCTACAGCAGGAGAAATCGCTAATCGATAGACTCACGAGTTTGCAAGCAAAGTTCATCATGTGTCAGTACCTGCTCACTACCTCCCGCGTAAAGGCATCTTGGGATCTTCTCTCGTCGGTGAAGAACATGGCAAACAATCTTGATCTCAACCGTCGGAATTTCAGGTTGCCGTCTTCTCCTGCTGATTCGCTGTACATTGAACTACGCAAGCGCGCGTTCTGGGCTATTTATACACTGGATACGTACATGTGTACGATGATTGGCAAATCGCTCATGTTGTCGGACGAGGATATTACCGTCGGACTTCCCGAACCCGTCGGTGACCTTTCTGAAGTCGGCAAGCCAACACAGCTGCATACCCCGCTCGAACACGCAAAGCTGAGTCGTATTCTTCGCGTAGCACTGCGCAAGCTATATTCAGATATCCCTCTGAAATCAGAAGAGCTCGTCACCGTCACCGGCCAACTAGGCAAGATGTTGCAGGATTGGGAAGATGGATTGCCGCAATTGCTGAGAAGGGAATCATCAAGCGGTCTTACGCTTCCGTATTCAAGACAGGTGGACGTCATAAAAATGGCTCACTGCCATGCGCTGATCATGATCTATCGTCCCTCTCTCAATTCCGAGACGTCCTCATCCGAGTCGCTCAGTGATCATATCGCGGAAAATATACGGCAGCAGCAGGAAAAATGTCTGGAAGCTGCTCTGGCAGTTGCCAGCAACAAGGGACTCGACGACTTGAATGGATCCTACTGGTTCATCGCATACATTCTATTCTGTGCAGTGACTGTGATGTTTGTCTACCTATCCAAGCATCCTGATTCTCCCAGATCAAGTGCGATACTACACGCGGCCACAAAAGTGTGTATACTGGAGAAAGAGATGGCGCGTGAGAGCTACATGGCAAGACGATACGTGGCCGCATTATCCGAGCTTTGGACTGAGGTGCGAAAGCTGCTAGCCATAAAGTCCACTCTAATGAACGATCTCGCGGCATCTATCGACAACCTCTATGTGCGCACACCCAAGGGCATGGAAGATCTCATCTCGCCCCCAGTCGCAATGTCGAGACAAAGCGAACTAAGTCAGCAATTCCGTGAACTCGAGCTAGCGCTAGACATGCTTTCGTCCTCCGAAGACCAGCGCGCCGAATTCCTACAGCATCTTCGCCACCACCAGCAGTCGCCGTCCTGCGCCGGCGGGAGTACAAACAGCTGTGAAACGTGTGGAACTAAACCCGCCGACACGACCGGCAACGAGGGAGAAAAGAGTGTTATGGCGTTTGATCATATTTTGAGTAGTTTGGCGCAGAGTTTTCGGGGATTTGATTCTACAGCTTCGACGGGGATTGGTATGTTTTAATGATTTGATGTGATTTAGTTGTATTTCTTTGTCTTAGTTGGTGAGAGCTACACAAAATTGGAGTTTGTTCTTTGTCGTTTGAGTTGCCTAATGAATAATTCATGTCTATGGGGCGTGAGGATTGCTACCTGTAAACCAACTCGATTTAGTAAGGCTTAGGCGAGGCACTAAGCGGTGTTCCGAATTATATACACGCCCGCCTTCTATCAACGATCTCCTTGATGCTCTACTGTCCTACAGTTAAAGCTATTATATACAATCTCTCGCAGTCCCATTGCTCATTCATATCTTACCGTTTAATACAAGAGGAAAAGAAGACTTGATCGATAGTTATCGGTTAGAAAGCGAGTTATGTGATCCACGTGACTCAGTCCCCGGTCGAGCGCACTTAATATTTTCTCCAAGGCGTGGGGGAAAGTCACCTGCGCACCAAGAGAACCGCCAGGTAGTCGACCCTTTCTGAGTCTCCCCTCATCGTGCCTGAACATCTGTGTACTCTCGCGCACACCGAATCCCACCAGTGTCTGGTGTTTCTTTTTATCTTTCTCTATAACATGGTGAAGCGCTCGTGGAGTGTGGCTCAACAGGCCGACGGCAGTCAGAACGGCAGCAACGGACACAGCGCGCAGCCAGAGCAGCATCGCCGATTATCCGTCTCCAGCACGGCCTCCGCCACAAATACGATGAATCTTCAGCGATCGCCGGACGACGCTCAGTCACCCGGCAAAGACAACTCACCGCCGTCAGTGGTCTCGAACGGGTCGAGGGAGAACAGCAATAGTCTGAACGGGTCGGCGCGCGGGGTGCCAATCTCGAAAATTATACATACTCAACAGCCTGTCAGTGCCGTCAACGACGAAGGCGAACTAGTATCGCTGACAACTAGAAAGAGTACCGCGTGCCCAGCATGCCGCAAGCAGAAGGTAAGCTGCTCTTCTAATTGAGTCCATTTTTCTGTACAGTCTCGTGAAGTGGAAATTGACATATTGCAGATAAAATGCATAATGGAGAACGACCTCCCACCCTGCAAACGATGCGCGAAGCAAGGAATATTCTGCTCCCCGAATAAAACGCTACAAGGAATTCTAGGCGACCAAGCACGATGGAACTCACGAATGCGGCAAAACTTCGCCCGCATGGAGTCTGCCTTGAACGAAGCCCGCGCGGCGTTGAACCTGCCTTCGATCTTTGCCATGGACGAATCGGCTACTGCGGACGAAGAAGCACAGATCAGAGAGAGCTCTGAGTTTTTGAAGGAGGGCAGCGGCTTGGAAGTTGTGCGCGGAGCAGGGGAAGATGAGGTGCTGGACAATGTACACTCGGGACCGGACAATCTCGCTTCAGCACCTATTCGATCGCTGTATGAAGTCACACAGGCCAACCGTGGTATCAACGGCAAGTTTGATCGGCATCAGAATGGGCATAATGGAGGTGATTCTGCGTCCGGCAAACAACCTGACGATCTGCAGCTTCAAGCAAGCGGTCTTGTCATTGAACCCGATTTCATTAGCAGAGGCGTGATTACACTTGCAGAGGCAGACCAGCTTGCAAAAGTATACCTAAACCGCCTCGATCATTTCTTTTACGGTTATCTTCAAGAGTACCCAGATTTTAGCGCCGTCCGGGCACGATCGACGCTACTCGCTCTAACTGTCTGTGTCGTTGCAAGTCAACATGACCCATTGGGATCTGATGTGTACGATAAACTGTCGCGAGAGCTGAGGAATTTGGTCTCTAGTCTACTTTTTCGTCCTCGGCTCGGATTCGAAGACATCAAAGCTCTTTGCATGGGCTGCTATTGGCTAGCCGACATCACCTGGATGTTGACCTCGCTAGTGGTCCGCAAGGCAGTCTCGATGCAATACCATATGGCGCATCTCTCGCAACCGGTAACTGATATCGAGGGATTCAAGAGGTCACAGCTGTGGCTGCTGATCTATCTCTCCAATGAACAGATTTCGATCTTACAAGGCGCTCCCAGCGGCGTCGGTCGCGATTTCGTGAACTGGGAGGCGCATATGAGTAGCTCATTTTCAAGCGAGGCAGATCTCCGACTGGTTTCTCATATCGACCTGTTGCTGATCTTTTCACGCGCGCGAGAGCTGTTTGGGCTCGATACCACAAAGCAAATTCCCCGGATATTGATTCCCCAGTTGCGAGATTTCAACATGCAGGTTGACAGATGGGGTGCGGCGTGGTCTGGAAAACTAGCGCGCAACAAGCAGCTTGGAAATTTCCCGAGCGAGGCTATCAAGATACATTGGAGGTTTGCAAAGTTCTATATTTGCTCTCACGCCTTCCGCGGGCTGAGCGTGGGACCTACCAGTGGGACAACGAGTCGAAACGACGACCAATCGATCCCGATAATCAACCACAATGTGACGCTATCAAGAGATCTTGAAGACATTGCTGCTGCTGCAATCACGACCGCTTTTGATACGTTGCATTTACTGCTCGAGTCCGATGAGCTACAGTCGTCTCTTGTCGGCATGCCGCATTATTTCCACACAATGTTTGCCTTTGCGGCAGTCTTTCTGCTTAAAGTGGCCACGCGATACTCGTTACACGTCAAGGTCGACATTCCGGCTGTTCTCGATATAAGCACGCGGGTTGTGCGCGTATTTAGGAAAGCGCCATGTGCTCGGCAACATTTAGTGAGTCGGATCGCACGTGGCTTGTCCGAAATGCTCGAGCGGGCACAAGCGCAGTACACTGCCGCTGCGAACGCGGCTGCCATATCTAGAAAAGCCTCACCGGCTCCGTCCGGCGCGCCGGGCGGGAGTACGAGCGCAGAGCAAGCGGAGGACGGCATAATGATTGGTGCGATGATGAGCCAGGGACAGGCAGGAATTGAGGAATACTCGATCGAAGCCGCTATGGTTGAGAATGCGTTGAACGGAGCGCTGCCGCAGTTGGATTTGGAAAACTATGACTTTTTGAGTAGTATACCACCAAGTTGGAGTGGGGAGTTTGATTTGTAAAAGCTTTTTGTTAAATTATGATTTTGGAATTTCTACGGTTGATAGTTTTTAAGAGAGGTAGTGTAGTATCTATAATGACATGCAAATATACGCTAATTGGATAATTGGATTAAGATATTTCGATTAACTATGCCAGACCCAGATAAATAATGAGAGATGTATGTGAAGTAAATAAGCAATGAGAATCCAGAAGACTTCAACTACAAGATTACAAGTAGTAGTTGAGCTCCTGCAGGGCAGCACTCGACATGGGCAAGTACTGATGGAAAGCCTCAGTCTTCTTGATCGAAGCCTCAAGCTTATCTCTGATCTCAGCCGCATCAGCGATGGGCTTGAAGTTGACAAGGCCAGCCTTGACCATAGCCGAGGCAGTCTTCTCGTAGGTGTTTGAGGCGCCAGCGCCCTTGTTGATGATATCGAGAAGGAGCTCGAGATCAAGACCGACAAACTTGGCAAAAGCCATGCACTCGCGGGTAGAAGCGAGCTCGACACCGGCCATGAGGTTGATGATGTCGTCGACGGTTACGCCGTACTTGCCCTCAGTGGTGGCAGCGGAGGTGGTAAGCTCACCGACAAGAGTGGGCGAAGGCATGAACATACGGCAAAGTCCAGCGTCGTCGTCCTTGGCAAAACCGGCGTGGCAGCCCTGGATGTAGAGCTGCTCGGCCATGTTCTCGAGTGGGAGAGGGAAGAAGGCGGATTTGGCGTGGTTGGTGACGATGGTAGCATCCTTGAGGATGATGGTGGTAGCAGAGTGGACGGTGTGGTAGTCGTTGGCAAGCATGTGAGGGCCGCGGTTCTCAAACATCCAACTCCGGCCGATGGACTTGCAGACCTTGTCGTAGACCTCCTGGGTGTTGAGGCCAACAGCAGCGGCGAGACCCATTGCCTCGGAGGCCATGATGATGTTGGTGGCAGCCTGGTGCTGATGGCACATCTTGGCAACCTGGCCCATGGAGATGCCTCCCTTGATGCGGTAGAGGGGATCGGACATAGCTTTGAGAACAACGTCGGCATGGTCGAGATCCTCGTCGGGACCGGAGGAGAAGATGGAGAGAGTACCCGCAGCGGCACGGATCGATCCACCAGAGACAGGGCAGTCGAGCAGCTTAAGATCAGAGCGGCCGACAGAGTCGATGTGCTCTCTCAAGGTCTTGAGGTACACGGGAGGAACTGTTGAGCAGAGCATGACGGTCTTGCCCTTGTCCATGGCCTCGATGGCACCACCGTCGAAGAGGACGGAGTCGGCCTGCTTGTCGTTGACGACCATGAGGATGAGGAACTCCTTGCCCTTGGCAGCCTCGGCGGGAGACTTGGAAGAAGTACCACCAGCAGCAACGAGCTTGTCCATGGAAGGAGGGTAGACATCGAATCCCTGGATGGGGAAGCCTTCTTTAGCGAGGTTGCAGGCCATGCCGCCGCCCATGGCGCCGAGACCGCAGAAGCCGATTGTGGGGAGTGCGTTAACCATGATGCTGAGTTGATTGAGGAGGTTGGAGGATGAACGGATAATCAGGATTGGGCAGAGAGCGGCCTACGGCAAAATATAAATACGGAAGCATAAAAGAACGGGCGATTCGGATGTGAATAGTTCTCGGGCAGGCAGCGGCAGCCATCGGCGCAGAGCCCGAGCCAGAAGCCGCACGGGCAAAGTGCCGGCTCACACGGTAGCAGACCGACTTCACCCCACGAAATATGTCAGAAATTAAGTAAGAATATCTTAGTAATTGATGACGAACTTGGGGTTTGCGGGGAATCAAGCGTGGGCGGCTAGTGGGGGTCATTCTTCAGATGCCAAAACCCAACCCTGAGGAAGTACAAGACCCCAGAGCTGACGGGTCAAAGCGGCAGGTGCTCAGAACGCCGGCGTCGGCCGCAGCGGTGCTCGACGACCGGAGCAGGGCCCGAAACCGACCGGCGGTTGTCCGACACTTGTCCGACAGTAGCGATGTGAAACTCTAAACAAACGATGGAGCCGTATTATTATTATTCTGTAGGGACTAGCAAGCCCTTAACCTGTCCACAGAGTTCCAGCTCCCCGCAAAATTGCGGAACCCCGCGTGGGGCTCGGAAGGGCAACAAGAGATGGATTGTAAACCCTACATAAAACACATCCGGCGATGTTTCGAGATGTGATTGTGTATGATGGCATATATCTGATGGAGACATCCTGAGTGTGAGTGAAGGACGATTAGTCTTATGACAGATGTCCTGAAACTTACGATTAGACTATGAAGCCATAAAATAGCAATCAGATGATAGATGTGTCCATCGCGTGGGGCTAGCCGATAAGGCTGCCTGCGTACAGTAGGCCCTCGTTAGAGCGGGATCGCGTCTCGACTATTCTGCAGAACCACTAGACATCAGCTATCATGCATCTCTAAAGAGGCCAAGACAAGAGTCAAGCGCCAGACGGTGGTCTGCAGGCGAGTACAGCTGCTTAACGGCGGATCGTGGGCGAGTCATGATCCGGAGAGACGGTGATGATGAGATATCTATTTTGGAGTCCACGTGCAGCAACTAGTTATTATAATGATGATGATTAATCTATTTTGGCTATGACAGACTGTATGATTCGGAGGGACAGAGACGATACTGTGATATCTCCGGCAGGTTACCAAGAGAGCAACATCTTACTGAGAATAGACCCTACAGTAGAACATTCTGTGCTGTTTCAAAGTGAATGATCATGCGGGGTCGAGGTCAATCTATCGGAAAGAACCCGGACAGAATGAAACAGCCAGCCCAGCAGGCCCCAGAGACGGGCGTAAACTTGCCTGATTTGTAGATACAACTAAACCAAGAACCGTCGGCTAGTCGGAAGGGGCGTCATCTGGTGTTTCGGCTACGGCATTACTATCTTCCTTCCGTTATCGGGATGCATTCGCGTGATGCATTCGCGTGACGCATTCGCGTGACTCTTTGCGGAAGAACTTGTTATGGATGGGCAGAAAAGTGGCAAGGAGCTGGGCCGCCCTAGCAAAAGCCAAGCTGCGGCGTTGACGATGGATGCGACCGCCAGCCATACACTTCACCTACACAACAGTAGAAGATATTTCTCTCGAGCACTCGACTGAAAACTAGTATAACAAACAAAACAGCATGTTTCCGTAGATGATTATGTACATTGTGATAACATGGAAAACCCACGAGAGCCAGTCTTCCGGCGTTGATATAGAAATAAATTTGACTTTTCCACCACAAACCAAATACCTCGGAACTGCCTAATCCAGCATCGAGAGCCCACAGCCCACATTCAGGATCGACCTCGTACCCGTCCTACTCGCATTCAATACTGACGAGCGTGCCCTTCGAGCGCATTTTGACCCAGAATAATGTGTGCTCGCCAAAGATCCACATGCCTCCCTTGACGAAGCAGAAGTTCGCGGCCACTCCGCCGACAACTATCTTTCCAATAAGCTTCCCGGCCGGATTCCACACGTGAACACCGTCTCCGCAGCCAGAGTACACGTTCCCTGCCTCGTCGCACTTGATTCCGTCGGGGATTCCGGTGTCGGTGAACGCAAAAGTGCGACGATTCGAGAGCGAGGGGATGCCGTTGCCGGAGGTGACGTCATAGGCGTAGATGGTAGCTTGCTTGCGCAGGTTGGTCGAGAACGAGTGTCCATCGCCAGGGCCGGCGTGTGCCTGCACGGCGCCGGTGTCGGTGACGTAGAGAGTCTTGTAGTCGGGCGAGAAGCACAGTCCGTTGCATTGCTCGAAACCGTCGGCGACGCAGTAAATCTCCTTGGTCGAGGGCACGAATCGGTAGACTTGGTTGGGCAGCACTGGCGGCGGTCGGAAGGCCTGTTCGTAGCCGTAGGTTGGGTCTGTGAACCAGATATCCCCTGAGGGGTGGTGGATCACGACGTCGTTGATCGAATTGAACTGGCGGCCGTGGAAGTTGTTGATGAGGACCTCAGACGTGCTGCTGACTGGATCCGCGAGCACGAGAGCGGACGGGTGCGTCTGGTCGCCCTGAGAGCAGTACAGAACACAGTCCTTGTATGCGCACGCTCCGTTCGCCTGAATTACCTCGGGATACTCAACCTTGGTGATCTTCGAGTGATCGGTGCAGTCGACCGCGTAGCAGGCAACGGGATTCGACGTCTGAAAGTTGGCAGTGAAGTAGACCGAGTTCGTGCGCTTGACGTACACACCGGCTTCGTGTGCAAACATGTCGTCAGCCCTTGTCTCAACAGCTGTGATCTCAGCATCTGCACCAAGCAAATCAGCAAATACTGGATCGTAGGCCACAAACGCGGGTTCCTTGGTCGTGCGGATCGATTTAGCGTAGGCGATATCGACAACCTCCTTTGCCAGATCGACTTGGATAAGCTTCGTCATTTTGTTGAGGGATGAATGAGATTTACAGTAGACAAATCTGATATATCTGCTGATCGAGAAACTGCGCGTCCCACTGAAATCGGGAGAGGCTGGATATATCTATAACAATTATCCAGGTGGTGAACTCGCCGGAACTTCTTTCGCGATCATGATCAGGAACAATCGGACATGTCGCCGTAGAAGCCGCGACGTTGCGAGAGTTGTGCAGGCACAGACCCTAGCAAAAACTCTAATCGTGGGCCGGCTGAGATCCCGACTGACAGTGTCGGGAGCTTCCCCGCGAACAGGTTAATTGTGGGTGAGAATGCACTCCCCCGCGTCGCAAGGTTGGTACGCTCGGGAACCCCCGCAATCTAGTTTTAGTCAATTTTCTTGGCCGAGACTCCTTCCCCTGTCAACCATCCTTCCGGTGGATGTGCGCGCAAACCTGGGCACAAACCTTACGCGCGCGGTAGCTTGTCCGGTCCTGGTGCATGCTCGAAAATGGGGAAATAATAAGAGGCCCCGCGTCGCCCGCTCTCGTCTTAATTTTTCAGTCCTCCATCCCCGCCTTCTCGTCTTCTTCGTACCAGGTACTTCAGACCCCCAGATCTGCAGTTACTAGCTGCTTCGTTGCTTTTCTCAATTTGGCTAACCATTCGGCTTTACCTTCCTTTAGTCTTTACTTTCCATCTCGTGCAGTACATCTGGGTCGCCATGGCCGAAACAAACACCACCGGCTCGCCTTCCTACCTGGGTCTGAAAGGCCAGCCTCTTCTCTACGCCGTCACTCTATGCTGTTCAGTCTCCTTCCTCCTCTTTGGATATGATCTTGGCTTCATGGGTGGCCTGACCACCAACACCGAGTTTCTCAACCAGTTCGGTAACCCCAACTCTACTCTTCTCGGATTCTTGGTCTCGGCGTACGAAGTCGGCGCCATGTTCGGCGCTCTCGCGCAGTTTGCCGTCGGCGACTACTTTGGTGGACGCAAGAACAACAACATTATTGGCATCAGCACTCTTATTGTCGGTGCCGCTATCCAGACCTCGTCGTTCTCTCAAGGCCAGTTCATTGCCGGTCGCATCGTCGCCGGTCTTGGTCTCGGTGTCGTCACCACCGTCATCCCTATTTGGCTTTCGGAGTGCACTGTTCCCAAGTCGCGTGGTCGCATGATGGCTATGCAGCTCTCGACTATGATTCTCGGTCTGATTATCGCAAACTGGCTCGACTACGGTATGGCCGAGCATCACACTGGATCAATTCAGTGGCGCCTGCCTTGCGGTTTCCAGATCGTGTTTGCAATCTTTGTGCTTGCATTGATCCCATGGCTACCCGAGTCGCCTCGTTATCTTGCTTCGGCTGGTAAGAATGAGGAGGCCGAGTATGCTCTTGCTGCTTTGCGTGGCGGCTTTCCTGAGACTCCTGAGATTGCCTACGAGTTTAAGGAGATCAAGTACGCGATCGCTGTCGAGTCTGAGGATGTTGGTGGATGGTCTGATATTTTCCACGACAACGGCATCTCTGGCTTCACCCGGGTTGCTATTGCCTTCTCTGCCAATTTCTTCCAGCAGATGTCAGGTGTCAATGTCATGTCGTCTCTTGGTCCCTATGTCTTTGAGAACTCGATCGGCATGTCGTCGCACAACGCTATGCTTGTCTCCGGCGGTTTGCAGGTCTGGTACTTTCTGTCGTCCTTGGTGCCGTGGTACGCTGTCGACAAGTTTGGTCGTCGCAAGCTCTTCTTGACTGGCTCTATCGGCATGTTTTCTTGCATGACCCTCTCGGCCATCTTCGTCGGCGTCAACACCAAGGGAACCGGTTATGCGGCCGCTGCTGTGCTTTACATCTTCCACTCTTTCTTCACTCTTGGATGGCAGTCGAATATGTGGGTATACCCCTCTGAGTTGCTTCCTCTTAGACTCCGTCTGCGTGGTGGTGCACTCTCCGTGGTTTCTCAGTGGATGTTTACCTTTGTCGTTGTCGAGATCACTCCGGTTATGATTGACAACATTGGTTACAAGTCATATATTGTCTTTGCCATCTTCAACCTCTGCACCCTGCCCCTCGTGTACTTCTGCTACCCTGAGACGTCGCGACAGCCATTGGAGGTCATCGACTTGCTCTTTGCTGATAAGGAGGATGGAACCCGCCCGACCATCTTTGAGGTTGTCAAGAACTCCACGAATCCCGAATTTGCTCGCAGCATCGAGGAGCAGCTGAAGGAGAACTCGAGACTGCGGGATGAGAATGAAAACATCATCGATGAGACGAAGGCAGAGGCTATGCATCTGGAGAAGGATCCGGCATTGCAGGTTTAATCATTTTGTTTGCATTTGTCTTTTACATGTACAGCAAGTCCAGTTTAGTTTAAAATATAATTTGTATATTTCAGCATGTTTCAATGGTAGTCAACCTCGACGAGAGATTGAGATTTGCGATAGATTGCCGCCATTTCGCCTAACAGATGTCACGGTATATTATTAAACGAGAGTTTCTTAATGTTTGCTTATGATCGCTAAATCACGCTTTGTAAGCACATAACAATTGACTCTCGGATTTTTAAATCAAAAATACAATGGCTTTGTCTATGGCCTCTCGACATCAAGTGCAACAGTAAGGTCGTGTAGTTGAACTCCACCTCAGATGTGAGTCTACATTCTCCTGGTTCATGGTTTGTGTAAACCACACCAACCTATACACAAACATACTGTCTTGAAGTGAAGTACTGAGATGATTTGGTCCTGCCATATTCTACAGGATGATGCACTACGCGCATGAAAGCTGAAGCGACGATGTACAGAGCAAGATATTAAGTATAAAAAGTCAACCTGGCAGGATTAGGGACACGACGGTACCAGGTACTTGCCTTGCGCAATCTCAGGTGCCAAAGTCTCGGCATTTATTAGATTATCAGCGCATCAAACACTATTTTCTCGTTAACCGACTCCTCAATCCTGGGGATTCCGTGATGAGACCACCTCGCGCTGCTGTGATAACGCCGCTGCATCGATAGTTCAAAGGAGGACCTGTAAGTGCACATGGTCAGCACGTGCCAGATAATGTGAGAAGCACTACAGCGTGCTGGCGATCTGGCAGAGATGATTGCGATGGACAATAGCTCTTTACAAGCCATTATAACTACTGAAAACTCGGGAGGCAGATCCTGTATTGCTGGTCAACGTCAGAGCGCGGGGATAGAGTTCGTATTTCCCCGCATTGTTCTAGATTCGAGAGCGTGGCCTCGTTCCGCGCCCTAAAATACAGCAAAATCCCAGTTTTGTTCACTGAGCTCGCGTCACAAAGCTCCAAGACGTGGATTTAATTATCTTCCAACTCAGTCTACAGTTAATTTTTTGGCGTACCTCGTTTGATCGGCTGCAATGCATCGCCTCGAACGGACGATGGCCCGGTCCTTGTTGTGGGCGTATCGCCGATGTTTACCTCCTCCCGTGTACTGATCCGACGGCCTCTTCTATATCTAGCGGCTAATCCCAGGCATATTCTCAGTTTCTATTCCTTACCGTCTCGTTCATTATCACATCCATTATCACTATTCAGGCCGCTTGCGTCTTCCAGCACGTCTATGTCTACCGAATCACCCTCAGCCCCTGAAAGCAAAGACGCAACCGTGGTGCAGCCCGAACCAGCACCCGACACCAGAAGCCATACTGGCAAGCCGCCCTCGTTTGCTGGCTTGCGCGGCCAGAATCTTCTTTATGCCGTCACCTTCTGCTCTTCCGTCGGCTTTCTCTTGTTCGGCTATGACTTGGGCTTCATGGGCGGCCTCACCACGAACACGCAGTTCTTGAACGACTTTGGCAATCCCGGCGCAACGTTCCTTGGGTTTATCGTGGCCTCGTATGAGGTGGGTGCCACGTTTGGTGCCTTGTTTCAATATTTGATGGCAGACTACCTTGGCGGACGAAAGCCGGCAAATACCATGGGTCTCGTTATCGTCATCATCGGCGCTATCATCCAGACGACTTCATTCGGTATAGCCCAACTGATTGTTGGCCGCATCATCTCAGGGTTCGGCCTTGGAATTGCCACTACCGTTATTCCTATCTGGCTCGCTGAATGCACCGTCCCCAAATCGCGCGGTCGTATGATGGCCATGCAGCTGTCTAATCTCATCATTGGACTCATCATTTCGAACTGGCTCGTCTACGGTATGACCACGAATCATACTGGCTCCGTGCAGTGGCGCTTCCCAATTTCTTTCCAGGTTCTTTTGGCCGGTGCCGTCATTTCGTTTCTGCCATTTCTTCCCGAGTCTCCTCGATACCTTGCATCAGTAGGCAAGAACGAGGCTGCAAACTACGCTCTGGCCGCCCTTCGTGACGGATGGCCGGACGACGAGAAGATTGCATATGAGATCAAAGAGATTGAGTACGCGATTGCTGTGGAGTCTGAAGAGGTCGGAAGCTGGTCCGATGTGTTTCACGATAACGGAATCTCTGGATTTACCCGTGTCGCTATCGCCTTCTCTGCAAACTTCTTCCAGCAAATGTCGGGTGTCAACGTCATGTCCTCTCTCGGTCCTTATGTCTTTGAAGTCTCCATCGGAATGTCCAACCACAACGCCATGCTAGTGTCCGGAGGCTTACAGGTTTACTACTTTCTGTCGTCTCTTATTCCTTGGTGGACCGTCGACCGTGTTGGTCGCAGAAAGCTGTTTATGATCGGCTCAGCCGGCATGGGAACCTGTATGATGCTTTCAGCCGTCTTCGTGGGTGTCAACACAAAAGGTACGGGATACGCCGCCGCCGCCGTTCTTTATATCTTCCACACATTCTTCACGCTTGGCTGGCAGTCAAATATGTGGGTTTACCCTTCCGAGCTTTTGCCCCTGAAGCTCCGTCTTCGTGGTGGAGCTTTGGCCGTCGTGTCGCAGTGGCTCTTTACGTTCACCGTGGTCATGATAACTCCTGTGATGATCGACAACATCGGCTACAAGTCCTACATCGTCTTTATGATCTTCAACTATGTTACTATCCCCATCGTTTACTTCTTTTACCCAGAGACGTCGCAGAGACCTCTTGAAGTCGTCGATCTACTTTTCGCCGATAGAGAAGGCGGCCGACGACCGGCAATCTTCGAGGTTGTCAAGGATTCTGTGAAAAAGGAGTTTGTCAGGAGTATCGAAGATCAGCTGAAAGAAAACGCGCGCTTTCGATACGAAAACGAAGATGTGCTTGCTGAAGCAAAGGAGCAAGTTCATCATTTGGAGGGAGCTGAGTCGAATGTTTGATAGGTTGGAAGCAACGGAGTCTTGTGTTAGGAGTTTGTCTCTGGCGATCGGGGTTTTTGTATTCGGGAGTCTTCGCACCCCTCAGTGTTTCGCAGTTGTAAAGTCGTGTCATAAAATATAATTTTCATCAACGCACATCTGCAAATGCACAAGGCCATATAAATAGCTATAAAACATATGACAAACTACTGGGAGGGGCAAAAAATCAGAAGCTGATTTTTCTGTAAGCTACCGCCAATATGAAAAGCTCGCCCGGACGACGATTGAGCCCATCTAGCAGAACTTGGTCCACCACACCCATGCCTGCAGCAGCGAAGAGCTCAGTGGTGAGCAAGACTCTTGGAAAGTACACAAACCCTTCAGAGACAGAACTCCTCAAAACGCGGATGTCGAATGGGCTGGCAAGCTTGAGCGCAGAGCGATAGCAGAATGGTGTTGTCTATAGGAAGGATCACTGTCAACAAAGAGTGTAAAGAGACTTGTGATGGAATGCTGACTGCGCCTGGATCGCACCCTTGATACCGACTAAAAGGTTCCTGGGATCTTTGTGGTGGGTAGTCAGCGGGTAGCTCGGTCGGAATTCTGAATACAGCCTCGCGTTGAAGGTGGAGTATGGGAATAAAGCGATTGCATATATAGAAAGAGACTGGGCTCTGCGATTTCAATTCTACTCTGTGAAGTACAGAAAGAGATTCATCCCAAGCAGTAGCTAGCCAGCAGGGATATTGCACGGTTTTTGAAGTAGTCCGGAGGAGATGGCGGCATCATCATCAGCACGGAAGACGCAGATTGTAATTCTCCTAGCGACAATCGGTCTACAGACCTGAGCCGCATGCGCGCCATCAACCTCCAGCGGTAGTGTAATCATCGACAACGCGGAGATTCTGGAGGAGTGATAATAATACAGGATGGATGATGGATGATAGGGAAGTACAGAGGAAGTGTCGGTGCGTTATGGGATCAACATGTGTTTTCTACAGGAGAGGAGCGATTTGAAAAAAAAAAAAAGGTAGACACTAGCAATCAAATGCGGTTCAGACATGATCCCTAGTGACAACCCGTTGGTAATAATATTGATGAAAAGCAAAAACGAAACTGAAAAGATTTGGAAAGGGGTCCGACGAGGACTTGAAAAGCGTGATATACGCGCGGGAGAATCAAGCGACAGAGCCCAGTGAGTGATTCGCCTCCAGCTCTGCGCGATTAGGTGATTGTTTCTTTTTTTTTGGTATTTGGCGGGATCAAAGATAACCCTATTTCACAGAAAAAAAGAGAGGGTATTCCGAGCAGTACATTGCAGAGGCCATTGGTTTTAACATCCATAGGCGACCGTACAGCAGGGAAGATGGTGGTGCAGACAGACAGGTGGGTTACTTCTTGAGGCAGATACCAACATGTGGTGCGATGAGATGACTTCAGCAAGGGTTCCTGTACAATGGGTATAAGACAGAAACGAGGAGGGGTAGACCACTTCTCTCATCGGATGTTGGGGTATTAGCCTGAACAGTAGTCGAAGTATAGGACTCTTCTGGTTCGTTCCAGGGTGGATATATATGCTGCAGAAAGGGTGGACTAGAAAGTGCAACAAGGGTCAGTCGGAGAGTTGCAAAGTAAAACTAACAAGGGCATATACATACGTTGGCCGCTATTGTAGCGAAGCCTTGACCAGCGATTGAAAATCTTTATAAACAAAGCACGATCATAGGCAGTTAAAAACAGAAATCCGTAGGATGGTCCGGTGCCTAGCTGGTCCTTATGTTGCCTTTTGTCGATACGAGAGGCGAAGTTGTCGTAGACAAAGTCGAGCCCGTGAAATATCAGGGCGTCGTTGAGGCGGATGCGAGAGAGATCCACGTTAAAGACCGGGGATTGTATCACTTCGGGGATCAAGTCGTCGTCGTCGTGGGCGGCGAAGCAAGTGCTGGGCTGAGAGCGTCCGTAGCCTCTCTCGGTCGTCGGATAGCCCGCAAAAGCAGATTCGAGCCGCGGTTGCGCGTATGTAGGGAGATGTCGGCAGCGACGGTGCATGTAGAACGCAGCAGCAGTATGCGATGCACTGGAGGGGCGTGCTCCCCTCTGGCCGAAAACCATTGTTGAAAAAGCACGGGAAGGGTGGGTGTTGCTGAAGTTCTGGAAGTAGTGAGAGGTGAGGAAGAAGAGGAGAAGAGAGAGAGCGGCGGGAGAGCGGACTTTATATTTTCCATTGCCGCCTTGTTCAAACAAAGGCGGGCGGCCTTGTTGCTCGTAAGGACGCGTTTCGAGGTCAACAAGGCTTTTGTCACCTGTTAAATCATAGTCACGTGATTGATTACCGCTACGACACAGTGTTGTAGTAGTGTAGTAGTGTAGTAGTAGTAGTAGTAGCGCTCGTTCTGTTCTCCCTCGTTGGGTATCAGCTCTCCTGAACGTTTGGAGCCGCAACTGGAAAAGCAGAGATGGTCATCGAAAGCTCGCTTGCATTATTTCAGGGGTTCGTGTAGATATCTCTTTGTTCAATCTCCAACCGTCTTTACAAAACTCAGCTCAGATACAAGGCCGCCCTTGTTCGAACAAGGCACAGATGGTCAACACATAAGGCTTCGCTCATTCCATTCATCCCCATTCCTCTTCACAGCTCACTACTTCGTCACCTCAGCAGCCACCTTCCCCGTTTCCCTACCCAAACAATGGCTGGCGGCAAGAAGAAAACACGATCTCTTGAGCATCACAACGTGCTGCTGCGAGCTTCAAGCACGATAGCCGACCGAATCCAACGCACACCTCCTCACTCGCTCTCTTTATCACAAAGTAACTCGATGGCCGAGGGAGGAGACAACGGACGTCATCCGCCCCGCGATCGCGACGAACACTACGACAGCGGAGCACAACGGAAAGATCACATCAAAGCTGGGCAACGGATGGATCGCAGGATCGAGTCCGGGTTTTTATTCCAGACTGCCTATGGTCGTGCTTTCTGGAAAAGATTTTCAGTCGCTGGTTGTCAAGGCTTCGCTGTATAGCAGCCAACGTCAAGAGAGAAGTAGTCCACCTCGACTGTATATCTGTCATATGCCATTGTACAAGATACCCTTGCTAACGTCATCTCATCGAACTAGATGCTGGTATCTGTTCAAGAAGTAACGCTACTGTCTGTCTGCACCCTTCTCCCTGCTGTACGGGCGTCACTGAATGTTTAATCCTTGGCCTCTGCAAAGTACCAACTCGGAATACCCTCCATCCTTCTCTGTGGATCAGCCTTATCTTTTATCCCGCCGAAAACCGAAAAAAGAGATACCGACTCTCGCAGATCTGGAGACGAGTCATAATTTCTCAGGCTCTGCCGCTTGTTTCTCGCGTGTGTAATAGCTCCTGTCGTTCTCAATCGATTGATCGCTTCTTTCAGTCTCTAGATTCTTGGTTTTGCTATTCGTTTTGTCTCTTTATTCGAATTTTAAATATATCGGGAGTCAGTGGAGATCATCTCTTCATGCCATTTGATTGCTGGTGGCTTCCTTCACCTTATCTATATCTCCTGTAGCCGTCTTTGTAGATCGCTGTATAATACCGCAGCATTTAATCGACGCCAGCCTTTGCTCTTATAAAAATCCATCAATACTCAATGACATTCTGAGAAGAGCTGCATGTCACAAGGTTTGTCAGTGATTCCTTGTGTAGTTCTCTGCTCTGGAGCGCCATAAAATAATTCACACTAGTGGTGTCCTCAGCGCTCAGCTCAAGATGCGACATTAGCAAGTTAATGGTTTCTAATATCAAGATTCATTTTAAGTTATTATTTATTCATAAGTACCGGTCTAAGTCTCCAGAAGTGCGCAAAGCAGTGCTTAAAGTCGCCAAAAGTTGAAGAAGTGGTGGGACTGGGATTGCTACAAGGCAAACCCTAATTATCTGAGACCATGCTCTCACTTCCCAGCAACTCTCTCTTGTTCAAGAACAGCTTGAACAGCGCGAGGTACCGTCGCAGCAATAATATATCGTGCATGATTTAATTCAAACAACGAATCTGCCTGTATGGATATATTGTTGCCGGCTTTACGAATACAAGAGACTGGAAAGGAGAGGCCGGCGGCAAGGAGAATGACTATTTTGCTAGTTTCCGGTCAACAAGGCTTCGGCTTGCACAGCAATCACGGCCTTCCTTCCGTACCTGACGAAGCCACTCTTTGCTCTTTATTTTTAGCTACCATGTGCGGCCTCCTGCCTTGTTTGCTCGCTATGCCTGGTTATAAAATGTACGTCCCGCGCCCTTCTTTCCTTTCCTACTCTCTCCCCGCTTCATAATATCTTTCCCTTTCATCAGCATCTCGTCCCCAACCTTCGGCTCTCGCAATGACCATGGCTCCTTTTGATCTTCATAGTGAACAAGCTGTTTTTGGTCTTCTTTTCTCTTCCATTTTTCTCGATCCTGTGCCGCCCACGGAAAGTCCACCAGCGTACGAACCTGTTCAAGGACGCGAAGTCATAGACCACTCGAACCCCTTGATCCGTTCGTTCGTTCGGCGGATTCCGCTCCCTCCCGGCTCACACAGCACGTTGGAGTCTTTTGAACTCCACCTCCCACTGGTCTTGAACGATTTTTTGAACCGTCAAAGATCTCTCACCCGACAGGCCTTGGAACGCATGGTCAACACGCCCTATCCCGAGCGGCTTTTGAGTAAAGAGGGCTGGCGCTTAACTCATGAAAACATGTCCACGGTCACCTTCTCGTCTCTGTCAACAAATACCAACGGTTCTTGCCCTTCGTTCGAATCCGTCCCCTTCACTGCAGTGGCAGATGGTCGACTCAGCCTTCGCCAATTGGGCTCTGCTTTGACGACCTTGATGCGCGACTACGAGCGTGTCAATCATCTCAGTCGCTGGTACTCCATCTATCTCACGATCGACCTCGACCACAGACAGATCAGACAAGAATGGGTCGACGCCGCTCTCCTACACCATCAATTATCTCTGCTTGGAAACACGCTCATGCGCGAAGATTGCGAGCGTTTCTTGGGCAGCCTTGCTAGAGTCGATCAAGTCGGCAACGGCTACAAGCTCAGTGTTATCGTCACCCCTTCATTGAACAAGTCATACTTTGAGGATGAGCTCGTCTGCCCTGAATATGCTGAGAGCGTTCCGGAACATGGATACCGAAGAACCCATGCCCACGGCGGCTTCACTGTGTTTTCGGATGCATTGGAGCGCTCCTTATCCCCCAACGATCATTACAATATGTTCCGGGTGTGCAGAGTGATAGTCTGGTTCAAAATTTTAACGCCAAGTCAGCGCAAAATGTTCCAGATGCTGTACGATGAGATGAGAGCTGTTTTCTACATTGTGCACCCAGAGCACGCGCCTCGGTCTTATGACCCGGAACATCAACAGACCCCAGTTGAAAATAACGAACAATTAGGCGCTGGTGGATCTCCTTTGTCTGTGAGCAGTCAGGTTAATCCAGCCAAGCGCGTCGCCGACACGGATGCAGATGCAGACCTGCGCCCAGTGAAACGACGACGATGCTTGTCTGGTAGCGAAGGAGACCACAGACGCTGCCCCTTTAGTTAATTCGATTCTGCGGAAGTTACAAGTAGTGATTGATCACGGGGATGGGTTTGGAGGATAACATCACATGGACGATCGCAACGAGTGTCGTCTCTAGCTCTTGTCGACCCGTCTGATCCTTTTGATTTCCGCGCGCTCACTCGTTTATCTGTTTTTTCTGTCTGTGTGTCTGTCTTTCTGTCGCCCTGTCTCAAGCATCTGCTGTCGGCATTGTATTATGGGGCGTTCTTGATTTTTGTATAATCATTGTTTTGTATCAAATATATTATCATCATTATTATTATTATACCTTATAGTAAACACTGCTCCAACAATCCCATGAGAACCGGGACTCACTACGTTCTCGAGATCTAGTAGGAAGAGCAGTTGATAGAGGAGTTATTGTTCATCGAAAGTAGCAGCAGACACATGGCGCGTCAAAGGAGTAGAAGCAAGCGACCAGCAGATTGTTGTGGACGCTCTGATCTCGGCTTTGACAAGTGCTAATCAGCGCTCTCGGAGAGTTTGGCGCAGCTTGACGCGTCTACCAGGGGTGTTGCTGAGAAGTGCGCAGCTAAATGCCGATAGGGTGAACGGTCGAAGGAGGGGTGAAGAAGCGTCAGTAAGGCGGGTTTGGAAGCGTAGGCATAAAGGCGAGTGTAGGGAGAGGTAGCGTCGGGTAGGTGTTGGATGAGTGTAGGCAGGCGAGCATTGTAAGCGTCGGGTAAGCGCAAGGGCGGAGGACAAGAAATAAATTCGAAAGCTCGACGACCAAAGAATAGCAGAAGAAAGTAGTTTAACGCTCCTTAAGGGCGTGGGCAACGTGGGCAAGTGACCTTCAACTTGGCGCGCTCTGTGGGACTCAGCCGGGAGTTTGCGATTTCGTTTGATCCTGGAATAGAAGGCGTAGACGTATGGGAACCGACGCATGGGAGGAGAAAAGACCGAAGCGTAAACGCGAGGGTATGAAGAGACAGTATCAGCGTCAACATCGACGAAGCGTAAGGGTGAAGGACGAAAGAAAGAAACGGAAACTTCGATCAGCTCGACGCACTTACGAACACTGGCTCGGGAGGGAGGTTGGCACTCAGCAGGTGGGAACGACAAGAAGCGAGAAGTTAAGTTGCGATTTGACCAGACAAGAGCTAGGAAGCGTGAGCTGGACGGACCTGGAAGCATGGGAATAGGATCAAGAGTGAGGAGAGGAAGCGTAAGTGCGCAGGGTAAGCGTAAGGGTACAAACCAGACGACTATGGCAAAGGCGCGACTAACAGCACGCAACAGAGCAGAGCAGAGCCAGCGTTGGGTAAGCTGAAGTACAGAAGACAAGAAACGAAAACAAAAGCGCGACAAACAAGTGTAGCTTTAGGGTAACGTGCTCAATGGGCATTGCCAACAAGTGTGCAGTAAGCGCAGTAAGGAGCTAAAGAGATCACTCGCGAGCTTTGGGAGGGTGGTGCAGGTGGGTAGCGTCAGTGTCAACGTCGAGGAAACGTAAACGAGGAAGAGAAACACGGAAACAGAAGAGCGACACACATCAAACAACAGCCGAAGAAGAAGACAAAGGGGACAGAAACACAAGAAAACAAAGCAGCGCGGTTAGGTGTTGAGGCGGCTCGGTTGACAAGCGTGCTCTACGCGTTCGACGAGTTCGGAATACTCTTGGGTTTGAAAGAGTGTGCGCGCTTGAGCTGGAGAGGTTGTCAGAAAGCGCGTCACACGAGGACACAGACTGTTGAAAAAGACGAGCGTTTGAGTGGACTGGTATGGGAATCTGCAAGGAACGTTGTAGTGAAAAGGGAAGGAAGCGTAAGGGTTGAGACAAGGAAAAGTAGTGTGAGCGTCTGGTCATTGGACAAAGTGTGAAGTGCGTTGAAAGAAATGTAGCCAAATGCAGTGACGAGAGCTAAGAGCACATCAAGCGAGCAGGAACGATGAAGAAAATGAGTGGTATTACAAGAGCGTAGGCGTTCAGCAGATATGAATGAATGAGTAGTTGGAGCATACAAGCGTTGAACAATTCAGGAGAGGAGTGAGTAGATAGCACAGGTGTAGGCTGTGGAGGTTTCAAGGGAAGGCGGGTTTCTAGAAAGGCAAATCGAATAGCAAGGCTAGCGCGCTCACGCTACTGGGGCGTATATTATTATAAATAATTCATTAACTATTCAGATTTGACAAGGGAGTGAAAAGGACTTGTATCTGGGGGACAGGGACAGTGAAATCAAAAACAGACTAATCTCCACGCAGCTGCAGTGCTGGAGGATGCATATGGGCGACTGTGGTGATGATGCTGATCAGCAGATTGAGGCGTTGAGGGGCAGTGTAGGCAAGAGTAATGAGAGATAGCGTTAGCGTTAGGTAAGGTCAAGAGCAGGAGACGAGCCCCATAAACAAAAGAAAGTAAAGGAGCAACAAAACAAAAAATACTCTCCGGTAAAGGTGGGGTCTGGCGTAAGAGCGATGAGCCAGGTTGAGGAAGCGTAAGAACGAGGGGCAAAAAAGGCGGGAGAATGCAGGTGAATGTAGTTGAGCGCGTTCAGATTGACTCAGCCGGGAGTTTGTAGACGGGCACAGTCAGTGAGGTGAGTTTGCAACAACAACAGCAGCGTAGACGTAGGAAAACGGAAGCGTGAGAGGTAAGGAAGGGGGCGAGTGATGAGAGGCAGGGAGAGCGTCAGTGTCGAGGGAGCGTAAGGACGTCAAGGTCGAGGCGGGGGTGGAAGCGAAGGCGTAGCCGTGAAACGTAGGGGTGGAGGCGAGTGTTGGGTAAGTGCAAGAGCTGGACAAGATAAAGGCGAATGACTGTGTTCAGTACTGTGAGGTTACACTCCCCACGGTGGGGCAGGGTTTGTGAGAGCGAGAGCGAGAGGAGCAAGCAAGGGACAAGGGAACGATAGCGTGAGAAGAGACAGGGTCTGCATCGAGGAA